TTACATCTCCCTCTACTGATGCACCTGAAGATCGTCATTAATGTCTGTTTACAATTTCATAACTAGATGGTAAGAACGTAAGGCATAGTGGAAACCAGTTGTAATGCACTAAGATGTGTTGAAGTCTAAATATATAGAAAAAATTAGAGGCTGTAGTAATTGTTTAGTGCTACATTTATTTAAGATTTGGTGAACTGTTTAATTTCCTAGGAATCTTCTTAGGATTGTCGTGTAAAATGAAATATGTTGGTTCTGGGACATATCTTCGGATAAACTTTCGATTGCCTTCTATCGAATGAAGTAGCCCAACCCTGAATGTATATCATGCAGTATTGTTTCTCTTTTACAGGATGCTCTGACCTTTTTTGTAAATCACTTATCATAATAATCTCGTTTGTTCCAGGTTGAGGTAACAGATTCAGCTCTCCTGGCTTTGATTGAGAATTATTGCAGAGAGGCTGGGGTTCGGAATCTTCAAAAACAAATTGAAAAGATATACAGAAAGGTTTCCCTGCTTTTTTTTTCTTGTTCATTTTTTTTAATGGGCTGCAGAATTTCATTTGGATCGTCATTAATGATTATCCATTCCATTAGTGTTATAAAGGGAATGACTTGTTGCATGCATGCTAATTGTTTGTTCTTGTGTACTTACAATTTCTTTGAATAATGGCCAGATTGCCCTAAAGCTTGTGCGGGAAGGAGTATATATTGAGCCTGCCGCTGGTGGAGCTGAAGCTGATGAGATCAAGGCAGAATCTGATTCTGCATCTACTCATGAAACCTTGATTGAAAAAACGGAGGTCGAATCTGAAGATAAGGGCGATGTTGATGGAAAAGAGTCTGAAAGTGCTGTAGAAGCTGAAATATTGGAACCATCAGCTGATCAAGCTCCGACTTCTACTGATGCTGTTAATGCAGAGGTATCCAAGTAAAAATTGTCCTCTCTATTTTTTTTTTCCTGTACTATGAAAAGTTTGAAGTCGAGAGTTGAGAAAATATTATTCCTCTCTTATTCGTTCATCTGATGGAACTTGGACTTAGTTTGTCTTTTAAGCATTCAACAATATTAATCTGTCTTTTAAGCATTCAACAAAATTAATATGTCTTTTAAGCATTTGGACTTAACTTGGACACAATCAGTCAAACTAGACCAAGGAATTGTGTTCTTTACTTCTTTTGCAGAATAACCAACTCCCACTTGTAACATTCTTTCAGAATTACAAATAAGCATTACACCCTCTTGAGGTTTGTAATCGCTGAACAAATAGCCGACCCGAAGTGCAATACGTAAAACGAAACAAATCGCAAGGGGTTCTCGTACTTTTTGAAGACAAACTTTTTTCTCTTCTCTTTCCCTTTTCGTTACATTTTGATTTACCTTTTTTTCCCCTCTTCGTATGTTCTCGTTTGTTACTTCATTCTGACTATATATAATCTTTTATATCCCTTGAAGGATACTGTTGAAGCCGACAAAAATGAAAAAACCGAACCCATACCTAAAGTCCTGGTTGACTCGTCCAACCTCGTCGACTTTGTGGGCAAGCCCGTTTTCCATGCAGAGCGCATATACGAGCAGACGCCAGTTGGGGTTGTGATGGGCCTGGCCTGGACGGCCATGGGCGGGTCGACCCTATACATTGAAACGACCCTAGTCGAGCAAGGTGAAGGAAAGGGTGGGGCCCTCAGCCTGACAGGTCAGCTTGGTGATGTCATGAAGGAAAGCGCCCAGATAGCCCACACAGTTGCGCGGGCCATACTAATTGAGAAAGACCCTTCGAATCAGTTCTTTGCCAACACAAAGGTCCATCTCCATGTGCCAGCTGGCGCCACGCCTAAGGACGGGCCCAGTGCCGGTTGCACTATGATAACGTCTCTTCTTTCGCTTGCTATGGGTCGACCGGTGAAGAAGGATTTGGCCATGACTGGGGAGGTCACATTGACGAGAAAGATTCTTCCTATTGGCGGGGTAATTACTTTTTTGATTGTTGCTTATGCTTTTTACTGTTTATTCTAGGCAAATTTTTAGTCCTGCTGGTTTAACGTTGTAACAATTTTAGTCCCAAGGTTCCAACATTTTGCTTTCTCATCCTGTGATTTAATATTTTGCTGCAATTTCAGTCCTTTGAGGACTGGAATTGCAACGAATTCCCAAGTTCCCCGATATTCGCTTAGCAATTTAAGTCATGTAATTTAAAATTGGTAATGACTGAAATTGCAGCAAAATATTAAATCACAGGACCGAAAGGCGAAAAGTTGAAATCTTGGGGACTGAAATGACGTTAAGTCGGACTAAAAATGCATTTTTGCCTTTATGTGAAAGAATCAAAGCGTGACAAGTGATGACTGAAATTTTGGCGTAATTATGGAAAATACTCAGTTTTTATATTTTGAAAGTACAGAGATAGGGTTAATTCTGAGAAGTTTTTTTGTATCATGGAGTTAGACTAATGAAAAACAAATTCTCTTGCAGGTTAAGGAAAAGACAATTGCGGCCAGGAGGAGTGATGTGAAGACCATCATATTTCCATCTGCTAACAGGAGGGATTATGATGAGCTGGCACCTAATGTGAAGGAAGGCCTAGAGGTTCATTTTGTCGAGGATTACAGTCAAATATTTGATCTGGCTTTCAGTGAGAATCAGTAGAAAGAAAAGAAAATGCGCTCTCTATATTATTATTGCTCGGGCTCTCGGCCTGGAGGTAATTGGAGAGCCTTTTCTAATGCGGTAGCTAAAATACACGGACAATTTTGTTATTTATTGGCGTTGTATGTACACACTTGATTTATGTGGGGGAGAGGATGGTATCCGTTCATTATTGGTTTGTCAGCTATACACAGCCTGTAGCAACTGATTAATAAGACGCTTCTTCAGTTATTTTTCACCAATAAATAGTGAAGATGGTAAAGTTAGGGTTGACACGAAATGCATTGATTTTGTTTTATCATCAGCTATTAGGAATCAATCATTAGTTAGCCAAGATTAACAAATTTTTGATGGCCAAGATTAAAGCGTATGTATCGCATGCTCAACATTTACACTTTGAATCATCGAAATAGCACATAAACTACCACTTCCGCAATTACCCGGCGATAACTTAAATTTCATGCCAGTTGGAGTCCTTGAAAAAGCCCTCATAATTCCGCCCATGTAATGGAGCAAAACCTAATATGATATAACCCTTTAACCACCAGCCCAAACCCTCCCAACCGTCGTTCTTCCATGATTACTGCAGAGACATTACTCTTCCATGTCTCAATTTCTCTCAACAATTCGTCCACACAAAACGTTTCTCCCTTAAAAATTTTCTAATTTCGTGCATTTCAAATGCGCCATAAAGTTAGCCCAAATGTTAAATCCCAATCTGTAACATCCAAACTTTGAGTATTTTCAAATTTATTACCAACCAGAATATATGTTTTAATCACATGTTAGTATTAGCTGTTTTGATAGCATAGTAGTGACTCTAAAAAATTTATTTGATAAATGCTGATTGATTTGAAAAATTATATTTTGTATTGTTAACTTACTATTTTTGTAATAAAGTAGTAAATATCAATTATAATTGTGTAATTATTTTTATGTTACCAAAAAATTAATTTCATATTGCTAAATATTTTATATAAATTTCATATGTTAAATATAAGCATCTATGTATATGGTTATTGACAAAATTATGGCATATAGTTGTCATTCATAGCGCATAACTTGTCTTTTAACACATTTATTTGAGTAATCAAATTGATAAGTATTCCATAATGATGGAGACAAATAACGTCTACCATCATTGATTTAGTTAGTTATTTATTCATTTGTTTTGATTATTATTAATGCTCTTCTAGATTTGTTAAGAAATTTATTTATTTTATTATTTTATTAGAATCTTTGTCTTGTTGGACAAACTATTAATCTAGGGTTTTGAGGAGTCTTATTTAAGGATTTCTCCTCTTTTGTTCTACGGAGTTGATTTTGAATAAGAAATTACGTATTCGAGAGAGATTTATCTTCTCTTATTTCCTAATCGTACGCTTTTGCTACATCAATTGGTATCTACAGACCTACAACGATTCACGATGCCGCCGCGAAGAAACGACGCTGCAAACGACAGGCTCGACGCCGCCATCGATGCTCTAAATCGCTAAATCTAGGGGTTCGGTTGACAATTCGAGGCGATGGGTCGTGAGATTGCAGACCTTTATGCATGAATCGAAGACATATGTCTGGCTCTTCATACAATTGTTCAAAGCGATCGGTTGAACTGTGCCCACGACGGGGGGCACAGTGGGATGAGCGGGGGTCGCGGCTGGGGCGCACGCGCGACAACCCGCTCCCAGCCGCCTCCTTTGTGGGTCGAAACTGTGGCGATGACGACACTGTCTCCAAAGTGTCTTTTCAGCGCGATGGAGATACGGGACGAGGACAGATTGGCTAACGATCGGCGTTGGAGTCATCGGTTCGAGTCGAGATCCCTGAATTTTTCAGGCGCCTTTGCGAACGCGCTAGGGACGACCGAGTATGAGGGCTCGCCTTGTTTTGATAACGAGGGGACGACCTAATATTCGGGTTCGCCTCTTTTTGGTGACTACGGGGACGACGAAGCTGAAGGGATCATCGAAGTGGCTGCTGACAATCGCGTCCAGGACTTTATTGAACATTCAGAGTGTGGTGACTCTCACGTAATTTCAAATGTATCTTCTAATGGGCTTGATAGCCTGCACCCTTTGCATTGTGGAATTTTGATTTTATATCATTGATACTTGTGGGCGAAACAACCTAAAAAGACACTTGGTGCGCAAAGTCAAATTTCAAAAGGGTAAGGAGCACTCGGGATAAAGGTTACTACTCTAGGAAGTCCACCTTGAAATCTGCAACCATCTTTCGCAAACTTGATCTCAGAAAGGGTAAAAAAAAAAAAAAAAATATCCGATGGCTCCATAGAATTTTTGAAAAATCTTAAATGACAATCCTATTTTGTTTTCTTAAATTTTGTTACAGAAGTGGTCTTAGAAATGCACTTGTTGTGATATGCGTGACTTCAGAATGTCACTTGCTTAAAAAATCTAACCCATAAATAAACCACCATACACTCAAACACTACATTATCCCATTTTCTAAACAAAATCTTCAAAATTCAGAGTTACACAAAATTTGAAGGCAAAAAAGCCTATATATAGTGCAGTTTCTAACCAGTACAGCTCCGACTCTCAAAGCCTTCCCACATCTTTGCACAACAAGATGAAGAATGAGCTCCCAAAGATCAAAACTAACACAAACACGCTCACAGAAAGGACAATTCAAGGTAATACATAAACAGAAAAACAAAAACCCATCCCACTTCTTCTACGAAAAATGAATCCCAGCCTTATTGAACAACGATAGTAAATGCATGAAATCTGCCTGAGCCAACTTCGAAGACCTCTTCTCCTCAAACCCTCCACTCTTCAACACCCCCAAAACCTTATTCTTAAAATCCGAACCCTTTGCACCATTATTATCATCATTTTCCCCATCATCCATCTCCATCTCATTAGTATCATCATCATTCTCACTATCATCTTTACCATCCACACTCATCCCACCAAGACTGTCCCCAAGAGCCGAAACACACGCAGCCATCTCCACATCATCATCATTGTCCTCCCGACGCCCGTCTGGCGCAAGCTGTAAAGCCTGCAGCGTCTTGTAATTCTTCTCGAGCAGGGAAAGCACGTTCTTCTGCCTGAATATGGAGCCTAAAGTTTTGTTCTTTCGGTTGAAGCAGATTCTAACAAGTCCATCCCACTCTTTGAAGTTGACGGGCGGGAGGGGCTTTCGAGGCTCGATTCTGACCACGGACGAGTCGACTTTTGGCGGCGGCCGAAAATTGTTCCTCCCGACTTTCAGCAAGTGGTTGACTCGGGCAAGGAGCTGAGTGTTGACTGAGAGGCGGCAGTAGAGAGTGTCTCCTGGATGGGCCACGAGGCGCATGGCGAATTCTCGCTGGAACATTATCACGGCACATCTGAAGAGGGGTCGGTGGGAGAGAAGCTTGAAGGTAAGAGGGGACGAGATTTGATACGGGATGTTGGCTACACAGATGTCAAAGTAAGGCAAATCGCATTTCAGGATATCTCCTTGTATGACCTGAGGGTAAAACGGGTAGTTAAACAAACAAGGCTGGATTACAAGTTTATCTTTTTTTTTTTTTTTTCAAGAACTAGCCAGTGAAATTTGGGAAATTGGCTAGAACTCCATTGTTATAAATATCAAATCTACTCTTTTCCTTTCTCCTTTCTTCTTGAGGTAGTAAACAAACAAGGTTGGAACACATTTATCTTCTTTTTTTTTCTTTTTCTTTCTTTCAAGAGCTAGCTAGTGAAATTTGGGAAACTGGCTAGAACTCCACAACAACAACAACAACATAGCCTTTTAGTCCTAAACTGGCTAGAACTCCATTGTTGTAAATATCAAATCTAGAGAACAGCCTGTTCTTTCTCTTTCTTCTTGCGTATTGGTAAATCGATAATGGAAACCGTGTAAATACACAAGAATATCAATACACATCATGTCTTAAGACTGTATAGGCAGCATCTTGGTATGGTAGGAATTAACTTACCAGTTATCCAATTATCTCAATGAGAACACCAACCTGGTTGATTTATGTTCTTAATTACTGATTTGCTGTAGTAAGATTGATCCTCCAAATATATTTGATCATTTGAATTGAATATATGGAATAATAAATTAACTTTTGAGCCGTCAATTACCTCATTTATCTGTGACGATGTTGTATGAAAAACAGTAAAAATTATTCAGCAGCTCTCGAAATTGGTCCCAGTGAACGACCAGCACCAAAATTACAATAAAGAAGAAAATAAAACAAGTGCACGAACACCATCATGCCTAGATACCGAAAATCTTCAATGACTCTCCACATAAAAGGGGATAAAAAGTTTAATGAACTGCCTGCATACCTTCAATCGGTTCGAATATGGGGTTCCTTGGAATCGGCGTTGCAGCTCGAGCACCATACGAGGATCAAGCTCGACGGCAATTACTGACTTTCCGGCTTCGAGAAGCTTTTTCGTGAGGTTGCCGGTGCCGGGACCTATCTCGAGGATGACGTCGGTGGGTTTTATGCCGGATTTCTGAACGATTGAGTCGATCAAGAGCGGGTTTTTCAGTATGTGCTGGCCCTTCGACTTATGGAAAGGAATTCCTCCTTGAAAATGAGGGTTGGATGCCCCCGCGCCGCCTCTCTGCGGCCGCTCTCTCTTGATTTTGCCTCCCGCCATGGTGGTTGCACGCTGCAACTATTGGAGAAGATGTGGTCTAGGTTTTTGTTAAAAAAAAAAAAAAAAATGATAAAATGACCAATTGTGTATATAATAATAAAAAATATTTACTTACTGACTAATACAAAAGGAAAAATTATTGATTTGATTAGTAGACTTAGTTTATGGAGTTTCTTCTCCTTAATAATATATAAAATTTGCCTAAAAAGTATGATGAAAATTTAAATATTTGTTAAATTCTTAAAAAACTTTAAAATTTGAATATAGATCAAATCAGTAAAAGCCTTAAAAAGTGTTCACTATTTCAAACTTTAGCTTTCCATGAAACATACTAATTATTTTATGTTATGAAGCAAATTATATCAAATCAGTAAAAGCCTTAAAAAGTGTTCACTATTTCAAACTTTAGCTTTCCATGAAACATACTAATTATTTTATGTTATGAAGCAAATTATAATTAATTTATAATAATTTTATTTGACAAAAAAATTACTAAAAATAATAAGATTAGTAGATTATAGAGACTTCAACAATTTGAACTATTTACGGAAGATTTGATGTATTCTAATAACAATAATTAAAGTTTTTTATTTTTGTAATTTTTTATATTTAACTAAAAAAATATTCAAATCACTAATATGGTAAGTAGATTTTAAAAATTATATTTGAACAAATCATGAAAATTTACGCAAGAGAGAAAAAAATGTAGATTTGAAAAGTAAATGTTATCATTAGTAATATATTTATATTTGACAAAAAACTACTAACAACACTAATATTAGTAGATTATGAAAACTTCAACATATTTGACCTAGAAAATGAGTAACTATGGTAGATTTGAATATGGTAAAAAACTAAAAATATACTTGTTAAAAAATTTATTACATATTTACCATATTATATTATTTATCTTAACTTTTGATTGGGAAAAAAATTACTATAAAAATTAATAAAAAAAGCGAGAAAATTTCCATAGGTTTATTTATAGAGAAACCTTCCCTTTAGTGATATATAGACTGGTAAAAACGACTGCACAGATATATCAAACAGTTTATTAATAACAACATGGAGTGAACTTCTATCCTAGTCGGCCAATCATATATTAGAAATACGGGTCTAATTTAATTAATACAATACAATTCACTTACCGCATATTAATTTATTTCAAGCCCGTTACAGAAAACAAACATGCCCCGATTCAATGAACTTCAAGTTGTGCTATTAGGCCTCGTTTACATGGACATGATAAGTAGAGATGGCCATGGGTCGGACCGGCCCGTGGTCCCGGTCCCGGCCCGGCCCGCAACCGGCCCGTGGTTGCCGGTTCCGAGGACCGTAACCGTGGCTTTACGGGTCGGAAACGGGTCTCGTGTTTTCATTTCGGTCCCGGCGGTCCGGGACTGGGTCGGGGGCGGGCCGGGACCGGGCCGGGACAGAGCCGGTTCACGGGCCCAACCCTTAGTTTTTGGCGGGCTGGTTAAGGGTCACTCAAGGGAGGCCCGTGGGCCCGGCGGATCGGGCCGGGCCGGGCTGTGACCCGTGGACTGGCCACCCCTAATGATAAGACTAAATAATCATGTTCTAAAAATAATTATTATTCTTATTATTTTATCTTATGTTTACCTTTACTATGATTTCCTCTTTACCTACTCGGATTAGCGGACTTTAAAGATTTTTTTGTACTAAAATATTTAAGAACACTAAAAATCATTTAATTTATCTCACTGCTCCTAAATTATTAGCATTTGGGATGCACATGGTTTCGTTAACCGATCGAAACCGAATATTTGATTTGGTTTGATTTCAGTTTATATTTTATTAAAATTTTAGTTTTTTGTTCGATTTGAATAAGTTATTCGAACCGAACTGAAAATGGATACTGTACATATAATTTAACAAAAGCCCATATATATTATATATCCAATAACCCAGCCAAGCCCATTTTTTGAAGCGGCCCAGTACACCGAGATCCCATTGCTATTTGATTCTCAATCCTTATCCAGACTAGTCATTAATTCCATCCTCATCTGCTCATCTCTCTCCTAGACCTAATTTCGTGGCCATTGGACCATTGCTATTTGCTCATCACTCTTATATTATTATTATTATTATTATTATTATTATTATTATTATTATTATTATTATTATTATTATTATTATGTTGTGCGAGTGACATAAAATTGTTGTTTTTAGTTTTTGTCTAATAGTTAGTCGATTGTAATTATGTATTGTTTAGTAATAAAATCTATCGTTTTAAAAAAAAAAGAAAAACTAGTTTGATGTATGAGACTTGATAAACTTGTAGTTTTAGAACAAGTTATCTTTTTTTTTTTCTTATTCATTTTAGTTTATTTTGGTGAAATTATTAAGTAACTAATTATTGTTATTTTTGTAACTTGTAACTCATAAATTGTAGATTTTATCTTTATCATTTCTCCATCTTATCGGATAATCAATAACTGAACAGATGAGTTTGATGTAGTATAATACCTGTTTGATGTGATAGTTATTACAAAATGAATTTGAAAATGAGTTTTTCTATTGGAGATGAGTTAAGTCTTGCCACTGTCCAATTCATTTTAAATTTATTGATGGAGTTTTAATCTATTACAAATCATTAATTTAGATTTAAAACTAGGGGAAAAAAATGTAACATGTAATGTCACACTTTATTCAATTCAATTTAATATAACAAATGTCGCACGTGATAATTAGTACTTACATGTGACAATAGTGTATAAATTTATAGGTTGTAAATATAATTATTACCGCTTTTAATTAGTTGCTATTGCTCAACAAATTATTCCTTCCAATTCATGTAATTGCTTCAATTTGTTTTTTTGTTTCAAAAATGATCATTATAAACTAGTACGAATCCTGTGCGATGCACGGGTAAGAGATATTCATTAATATTAATAAATTAAAAATACTTATTAAATAACATTTATAAATTAAAAATATTGAATCAATATGTAAGACAATTTACCTAGATTAATTTATTGAAAATATTATATAAATTTTATATCAAAATTACATAAATATGTCAATTTAAATTTAATACACAAGGTTCACGTAACTAATAATAAAATATATTATATTCATTTCAAAATAAGGTTAATTTTAAAATATTTATTCAGAAAATAATCATTTTGGTAAAATTTTATTATATATTTAAAAATCTATGTGTATAATACGTACAATTATAAACTTATAGTGTTCATTAATTAAAATGAATTTATTTTTTATAAACTATCAAAATAAAAAAATTTAAGTAATAAAGTAATTTATTAAACTATAAATAATTTTGGTGTGTTTATTGGCAATAAATTCCTTTTAGTTTTTAGATAATTCCAAAAGATGCTCAAATATGGGAAGAAAATTTTCTCTAGTTAACCTTTCGGCTTTAATTTGGAATAAATTTGGACATATTCGTAGATTCGATAATAGTAAATTTGTAAGATAATTTCGGTATGATTGACTCAAGTTAAATATGAACTAAAATTTTCTAAGAAAATTTCGGTACAATATATTACCATAGTAATTTTATTTAATGTGCAAACTAAATATTGGAAATTAATCGCAGATTGGAAATTAATCGCAGATCTTATGCTAGTAAAATTTGGAAGGTAAGTTAACGGGCTTCATTATGATATTAGATGAAAATTAAAAAAGAAAATAAAAAATATTATTTTAAAAATTTCTTTATTTAATAAGCAAGAATTTTTTTGGCGGGAAATAGTTACTATTTAAAAAATAATCAAACTTTTATATATATATATATATATAGATTTCATCCTTTAGATCTCGCTTTGGATTGCGTGAGATAAATTAAAAAAGAAAATTTAAATAATGATTTTTAGCATGTTTTTATCGTTTTCGATTATTAATATTTTTTGTTTCTACACAAGTGAACTTTAATTAATTGATCAATTTGAAAGTATTTATATTTTTATTATATAAACATGTACTATCATTTTATGATGTGGTTAAAATAAAAACTAAATTTTAGTGTAAAAGCCATGAAAACACTTTTATCTTTATGTGCTGCTGTTATTTTTAGTTAAAAATTATTTTGTGAAAACAGCAACTCTATATAGTCTTATACGATAATGTCTTATATAATAACATGTTGTAGATGATAGCATAATATAATAAAAAAATAAAACTATACATAAATTAAAATATATTTATGATTCCCANTTAGAGTGCCTTATGGTTTTATACACACATATAAACGTATTTTTCGTATTCTATATTAAAAAAATAAAAAAGATCGTTATCATTGTACTGATATTTATTATGTAGCTTCCAGTGCGATGTATAAGGTGCAAATTCCAAAATGACTTAAGGTTCCGTTTGTTTTGAGAGATTTGAAATCTATAGATTTCAAATTTACAAGTTCAAATGCTCATGCATGTTAGGATGATAATGGAAGTTGAAGAATTTCAAATTCATGCTAGATGTTTTTTAGTCATTATTTTGAAGAATTTGAAATGACGCCTCAAACCTAGTCATTTGAAATCCACTGTTTATCACCGTTGACGACCACGCCGTCCGCGATCATTTAGGTTCATCATCTATCGGTGCGAGCTAGACTATTTATATATAATATTTTCAACACTTCCATTCGATGAGAGTGCAAGTAAAAAAAATTATATTTCAAAAATTTTGAAATCAAGGGATTCAAATCCCTCAAAACAAACGGAGTCTAAGAGCTCCACAATCCAAAGTTGAACCCTACCTCTCCATAGGGTGGATATTGTTGTCCTACATATTTTTTTTCCCCCATTCATTATTCAGTAAAGTTGCATAAATCCTTGCATAATTATACACCATTGAAAATATTGGTTCCCTTTATGTCAATTTTGGACGATTTCATGTATCATTCTTATAAAAAAAATAAATCCAATTTACTATCTTTATTTTTGCAAGTTTAAAGTAAGTCATCGTTCCGCCTTCATAACTATGTGTTAGAAAAATTTGAATTTAATAATATTGTAGTGATGATGCTTGTTAAGTATATTTTCGATAATTCAATCTTTACATTATTCTGTTATTGTAAACTACTCTAAGGGGTGTATTCAATTTCAACTTTTAGAGATTTTTTAAATCTTTCAGAGTTCTGGTGTATTCAATCAAAACTTTTAGAAACTTCTGAAAAGTTTACATGTATTCAATTAAAACTTTCTGGTAGTCTCTATAAGTCACATGTATTCATAATAAGAAGACTTTATGTGACTTTTTAAATTGTGAGACTTTTAGACACTTTTATAATACAAAGAGAAAGTCCCAACAGAAATCTCATTAATATTGGTGAGATTTTGCTGGACTTATGCTATTTTCACACTCCCTTTCTTTTTTTCTTTCTAACACGACTTTGTATCTCATATCACTTTCATGCTCTATTATTTTACTCATTTATTTTGATACCTTGTATAATTTCTTTTTCATTACGTATATTTAACGTGATCTTTATTTTATATATTTTTTACTATGGTTATTTTATGTATATATACCTTTATTCTTTCGGTTTGTTATCTTGTGATTTTGATTTTTCAAAGGTTAGATGTTTCCATAGTTTGCACTTGCAAATATCTTATTTGTTCTCTCTTTTTATTTGTCAATATTTATTTTTAAATATTAATAAAATTATTTTATTTTCTAATAGCTTATTTGTTGAATATTGAATTATTTTGAGTATTATTGATAACTTTATAAAATACAATTATTTTTTTTCGACAATATTTATATCTTTCATAGTTCGACTCGTTGAAGCTCGGATTGATTTGCTCGTTTAATAAATCTAAAATCCTAAACAATTTATTAGTGAATAACTCATTTTGCATAACGATGAGTTGATTCATAAATTTTTAGAGGATTAATATATAAAATATTTCTTTTTCATTTATTCTTCTTTATATTAGTTATTATGTTATGTTTATTAATGTTTCATTCAAACATAATATTATAACTATAAGTATATAAAAGTCTCAATAAGTTTTAAAAAAATCCATTATGAAAGTCTTAAAAAGTTACTAATGAAAATTCTCTTAAAGTCTCAAAAAGTCTACTAAAGTTATGAAAGTTTTACAAAGTCCACAAAAGTAATCAAATTTAAAAAATTTTAAAAAATCCTTTAAGAATCTCCATTGACATGACTCTTGATTATATTTATTTGATGAATCTATTTTTACCTTGAAATTAATCAATTTGAAAATGAAAAAAAATATTATCAACATAGGGTGAAAATAAAAAAATAAATAAATGGTCATCTAACCAGAAGTTCTCCATGCCATGTTTCAAAAACTTGACTTAATATATATATAATAAAAATGCACACTTCTTTTGATAATTTCACTTAAAACTTAAAAGTGTACTCTGATTTTATTTATTTATTGTCAAAAAGATGTACCTAAAATTCAAAATGAAAACTGTTGTTTCTGCATAAAACACTGCCCAACAAAAAAAAACTCGAGGACAAATCTGTCATTTTAAACACTACGAGCCTTGCCTTTAAAGTGTCGCTACTCACAGTGGATGCCCGCCGTGTTAATCACCAAAGCCAACAGGCCACGTTAAACCAGTGACGACAATCTCCACGTGTCTTCCTCTTATTGGTTGAGCTCCCATAGATCCACGTCAGACTGCGCAGTGAAAATCGTCACTATATAAACGCTGTCCTCACTCGTCTCACTCACTGCATTCACTCGCTTCAATCTCATACAACAGCCAGCCATGGCGATTGCGCAGGGAAATTTGCGGGCACTCAACCTTCGATTTCTCTCTCTATCCCTCTCCCTGTCTCTCTTCATTGTCGCGTCCTCCACCAAAGTATTCTTCGAGGAGCGTTTTGATGGTAATGTTCATTTCTCCACCTCCACTAGATTGCAAGATGTTGAGATTATATGTTTTCTTTTTTTTTTTCAGTTTTTTTTTCCCGCCATCTTGATCAATAGTTGACATTATTGATTTAATTGCATCAGATTGAGTTTAATTAGCGGAGATATGTGACGATTTCACAATTTTATGGGGGAATGTTTGGTTGTAGTTGATAATTTGCTGCATTATTTCTTTCGTGTTTTGACTGAGAAATGGCAATTTAATTGAAACCATTTTCTGGATTGATTTTTGCGTATGAGCTGTGGGTTGATATTGGGTCATCTTCAATGGTCCTATGTAGAACTTTGATGTTGCCGGTGAACACAACTCAGCAAAACTTAGAAGAAAGTACTCACTCCATATATAGGGCAGTTTGGTAGGGTGAAATTTCTTATTCAAATTAGGCTGTTTCCTTCTTCGACCGAGTTGTTAGCGGAGAATCAAGAAAATAACAACTACTTATGTTTTTTTTTAATCTTTCATGTATTGGATAAAATTTGTTGTTGTCACCACTGATGATTTTGAACTCATAATTTTGTTTAACATTTTAAAAGTTGGATGGGAGGACCGGTGGGTCAAATCCGACTGGAAGAAAGAGGAGAATTTGGCTGGTGAGTGGAATTACACCTCTGGAAAGTGGAATGGGGATGCCAATGACAAAGGTAACCATACCCTTGCAAATTATTTGTTGTTTTGTTGTATATCGATAGATATATTGTGCTAAAGTAGTTGAGATCTTGCACTTTATCTCTCTGTAGGTATCCAGACCAGTGAAGATTTAAGGTTTTATGCGATCTCAGCTGAATTCCCTGAATTCAGCAATAAAGATAAAACATTGGTTTTCCAGTTTTCTGTCAAGCATGAGCAGAAGCTTGACTGTGGTGGTGGATACATGAAGTTACTCAGTGGTGAAATAGACCAGAAAAAATTTGGTGGTGACACCCCTTATAGGTCACACAATGTTCATAATGGACCTTTTTTTTTTTTTTTTTTTTTTTTNCCATTTGTTAGTTTACATCCATTTAAAACTTGCAATTTTGTGGTCTTGTTTGTGTGCAGCATCATGTTCGGACCAGATATCTGTGGCTACTCCACCAAAAAGGTCCATGCTATTCTGACCTACAATGGAACGAACCACTTGATCAAGAAGGACGTTCCATGTGAGACTGACCAATTGACTCACGTATATACTTTCATACTTCGCCCAGATGCTACTTACAGCATCCTCATTGACAACTCGGAAAAGCAGACTGGTAGCTTATACACTGATTGGAAACTTCTCCCTCCAAGGAAGATCAAGGACCCTACAGCCAAAAAGGTTTGTTTGATCAACTATTTATTATTTGAATGTATTTGTCGAAGGAAATATTTGCTCACTTTCCAAGACATAGTTAACACCTTTGATTGATGCAGTATTGGCTATTATTATCTGAAGAAGAGTAGGGAAAAAAGAAAATATATAAGCAAACTGAAAATTTTCGTTCATATAGTATTGAAGTTCTGTCATTCATTCTCACTTGCAGTTCATCGGTTTTTTGCAAACTCTTTCTGACTAATGTTTGTTTCCACATCATAATTACAGCCCGAGGATTGGGACGATAAGGAGTTCATTGACGATCCAGAGGATAAAAAGCCAGAGGTACATTCAGTTTTTCATCCATGGGGACTCGTGGTACCATTGATTTGATCTAAACACTGAATTTTATCTTTTCTAAACAGGGTTATGATGATATCCCAGAAGAGATTGAAGATGCTGAAGCCGAAAAGGTTAGTAGACGCGTCCTATTTCTGAAGCTGATCTATTAATGGGGCTTTTATGTATCGGAAGATAATATTTTATGTAAGAACTCTCTTATGATTGCAGCCTGAAGACTGGGATGATGAGGAGGATGGAAAATGGACTCGTCCAACCATCCCCAATCCAGAGTACAAGGGCCCATGGAAGGCAAAGGTTAGGGGATCTACATTTTCGGTTTTTACTGAAACTGTCAACTTTGATCAACTTGTATATGACTAGCCTTTTCCCATTGACAGAAAATCAAAAACCCGAACTACAAGGGCAAGTGGAAGGCACCAATGATTGACAACCCAGGTATGTTTACCTCTGATTACTAATCACTTTGTCCGCACTCTATTATAATAGTCTCATATAGGTTAACCTCAATATTTGAATGTTTGCAGACTTCAAAGATGATCCAGAACTCTATGTTTTCCCTAACTTGAAGTATGTAGGCGTTGAGTTGTGGCAGGTAAAAAGCTAATTTTCTGCCTTTATTTATTTATTTATTTATTTATTTATTTATTTATTTCTATTTTGGTAGCTCTTATCTTTTGACTGAACACTCACTCAACATGTATTGTATTTGCAGGTGAAATCTGGAACATTGTTCGACAATGTCTTGGTAACTGATGACCCTGAGTATGCTAAGAAAGTTGCTGAAGACACATGGGGAAAACAAAAGGATGTATGTTTCAGTTGTTCTTCAAGATTCATTTTCCTTTGAACATTTCCTGGGTGGCCAAAGAGAGGGGAAGTTTAATTCCTTGCACTGAATAATAATACTTTGTTTGATATTGCAGGCTGAGAAGGCTGCTTTTGATGAGGCAGAAAAGAAGAGTGAAGAAGAGGTATCATAAGAATGAAATTACTCTTTGCATGCATTTTTATTTGCAAAGACCTGTGTATTTTTTCACATGATTTTGCTGCTTCTGCTTTATGGTGTTACTAAAAAATAGTTTCTTTCTACAGGAATCGAAGGATGACCCAGATGACTCTGATGTGAGCTCTAAATTCTTTGGCTTGAAGCGTTTGTCTCGATAAAGAATGTGGTTCTGTTCAGGATCTCACTCCTGATTTATTTTGTTTCAGGCTGAAGATGCAGATGATGATAATGATGACAAAAATGACGGTGCTGCAGATGATGGTACCAAAGCTGATCTTGCGGACAACTCAGCCGATGACGATAAACATGTAAGAAAGCATTGCTTTGTTCGGGTTTTGAGTTTTCTTTGCCAACTGTATGTGTTCTCTCCTGGCTTTTCCTTTTCACTGACATCCATTTGTTTTCTTGGAATTCTCTTGCAGGACGAACTATAAGTATAAGCACTTTGAGAAATGCAACATCTCTTGCCTGACAAGCTAAAAGGATTTTCCAGTTTTACTTTGTTTTCCATCCTTAGTTTCGTCTTTTTTTTTTTTTTTTNTTCTTTAGAGAGGAAAAACAGCATGAGGAGGTTATATTTGCCTGATTTCTTTAGCACCAAATGAGTTTGCTATTAGAATTAGAGCAGAGCCAGAATTTACATAATCAAATGTTGCATCTGTTTGGTCTAACAGTCTTGAGACTGTCTTCTTTATCTCTTTTGTACCCTTTACGCATACCATTGAATAAAAAGTAATCTTATCCATCAGTGACTTGCTGTTGTTTAATGTGGTTTGACATTTGTGTTCGTAACAAATTATACAAAAAGAGGACTGGTGACAACAGGATAATTGGTCGTATTTCAAGATTATTTGTTCATTAAATGGAAGGTTATTGGAGGGATGATGAGCGTAAGAAATTGGAGATGGTTATTTTTCATGACATCCTTCATGCACATATTTTGGTAATACAATTCATTTTATAAACGACTTTTATATGGCTTCTTTCGCTAAAGCCTTACCCGATTTATCGAAATTGGGGACACTAGATGGGACAAACTACAAGAGGTGGTCTCAGAAAATTGTTGATTTTCTTCGAGCAACTTGAAAAAATTTGGGACACATTGAAGAAAAAATATGGCTCTGACGATGCCGGAAAAAGAAAATATGTTGTCGGAAAATGGATGCAGTTTCAAATGGCGGATGACAGACCAATTATGGGAATGAAGATGGAGTTTCTTGGTTCTAGTGACTTTCTTGATCAAATCGAATTCGCGCTTCATCTTGAATTAAATAAAAGAAAAAACCGGATACTTGAACATAAAAAATGAAATCAAACGAAGCATAACTACAAACGATCGGAAAATGACTGAATTTATAAGGGAAAAACAAAATATAATTTAGTTAAATTCCATAAATATACTTGATATAAAAAGTATATAAAAACTGCAATAAATCATTTAAGGATTGTACAAATTCTTTAGTACACGATTTGTGTAATGTAAAAATTTACTTTCTTTAATACATCAAATTTTACTTTGTTTGGCAATTATATTTTTCATAAATTGTTAATCAAATTCTCATTTAATTTAAATGCAGTATAAATTTTTTTATTCGGATTCAATTTAGAAATATTATTCGGTTGATCAGTTCGGATGTTACTAAATCCTATTGGGATATTACTTGTTGATTACTTACGGTATGGGTTGGACTGATTGTTATGGTACGATTGGGTATCTCAAATTTTTATTTTTATTTTTTTTGTTATGGTTGTTAAGTTGTGTGAATGATATTGTGTAAATTAAATAGATTGATTGATTTACATAAATATATATACCAAATAATTTGATATGTTTCACACACATCTATAAAGAAGTATCGACCATCTCCAGATTTTTCTTTCATTAATATCGAGTAAAATACTTAGCAATATGAGAAAAAAATATTGAGATACAATTTCTTACCATAAGTGGATATATTGGATCAATATATAGTATATTAAATAATTTTATTTCATACTTTATCAATAAAATACAAAAAATGATATTTAGTTTTACCACGAAATTAATTGCCCAACGTACAAAACAAAATCGAGACCCATATTTTTTATAGATAAAAATAAAAAAGATCCAAAAACAGTTATTAAAAAATAATTAAATAGAAATTGTAATTAACACAATTATTTTGGAACAATTTTATAAAAAATTATAATTGAATAAATCAACCAAATTTATACGATATGTGTAATGAGGATATCTTAAAAATGTAAATTTTATGGCCTAATTATTTCTTTAATTGTCCACGATTTGAATAATTAAATAGAAAAAAATGAATAATATTTATTAAATAATATTCAAATAAAAATATCATTAACAAAAATTTTTTAGAATATTGTTTTGCAAATTGCATAATTGATTATTGTTTTCAATATTTCCATAACTGTAGTAATTATTTGCAGATTGAATAAATCTGTCGAATTTACACAATTTTCATAATTAATGTATATGAAAAATACATTTCACAAAAGAATTACACGAAAAATACAAAACACTTATTAAATAATAAGTTACACAATTTTGTTTGAAATTTTTTAGCAAATTACATAATTAATATTGTATCAAAAATTTTCATATTTGGGTAAATCATTCGAAGTCACATGATTTGAGTAATTATCTTAAAAATGAGATTTTTTATGTCTTAATTATTTCCTCAAGTAATGAACCTCAATTTCCATAAGTGATTATTTAAAATATATCATAATTTGTTAAATTAATTTTTTGAAATAGTAAATAAATTTATTTTAGAGGGAATATTTACAATCTAAAGAGTAATCAAACCTTTATATATATGATATGATGATAAATATTTATATGTATATTAAATTTGAGTTATAATGAAGAGATTATATGGAACTTAAGATAAATATTGAATATATCCAAAATAATCTGCAGTAAATTTGTAACTATTTTACCACAGATATCCCAACACTTTAATAATCAAATCAAACGAAAGATTCAAATTTGCTATAAATCGGCGGAATACCCGTGACCTTACTTGAAACTGTTACCTAAAATTTGAAAAATTAAAATATTTTCTTCGTTTGATCAAAATCCCACCAGCTCTCCACCTAAGTCCACGCACCTACTTTTCAATTTCAAATATTTCCCCTTCTCTCTCTCTACCATTTTTCTCCAAAGAAAAACCTCTGCAACTCTTAATTAGCTCCAATGTCCAAATTCCCACCCAATTCAAAAGCCCTCATTACATGAACAATCTCACGCTCACTCCACTTGACTCATCGATCGCAATCTTCTCAAATGGCGACATCGGCCTTCAAATCGACGACCAAGAGGGCCCCACCGGGTTCCAGCTCCGGCGGCTCCCTCCGCCGTTCCCGTAGCCTCAGCCGATTCTCACACTCTATTCCGCCGGAGCCGGAAATTGAGGCCGAATACAACCGGAACGCGCCCCGTGGGAAGTTCGTGAACACCACGAGGGGATCGACGGCGGCGCCGTTCCCGGAGATCAGCTTGGATGATCTGGCGCTCGAGTTCTTCTCCTCCTCGTCGAAGAACGGGAATGATAGCAGCGACGGGGCTGTGGCGGGGCAGCAGGAGAGAGAAGGGCGGTCTGTTTCACGACAACGGGAGATTGGACGGTGGGCGCGTGATACGGCGTCGTCGTCCAGAAGGAGGGGAAGGTCGGTGTCAAGGACTCGTGCGGGTGATGTTGCTTCGGGTGGGCCTGTCTCCGGAGTTAAAAAGGTTATTTCCTCCGATGCAAGCTCGAGGCGGCGGAGGTCACTATCAGTGGCGAGGTTTCAGATTAGCGACTCCGAGGTGAGATGCGTTGAGTATTCTAATGAAACTTGGAGCTTTACTCAGTTCATAGTGCAACACTTTCTAGAAGCTTGCTGATAACTTGGTGAGGTAATTTGGCTCTGTGAGGGTTTGGTCCAATGTTAGCAGAACTTGTTTTATATACCTCCTAAAAAGGACTACATCATGACTTTGGGGTTTTGACTGTTGAAATGTTATTGCCAATTCTTCTTTGGAAATTGTGGATAGAACAATCAAGGGAAGATATGCACAACTATGTTGGAAGAACAGTTTTCATGTAGTTGAATGTTCTGCAGTTTGTGTGATGAAAACTATGTATGTGGTTCTTTATTCTAACAGGTCAATGAAATGTACTGTGGCTAGGGCCTAGAATAAAACATGTTAGACTAAACTTTAAGCGAGAACTTATTGTCATACTAAGCGTCCAGGGTATTAGCTGTGGAAGTACTATTGACAATTCTTGTATGGAAAATGGGAGTAGATCAATGACTGGAAGTTATCCAAATTTATGATGCAGGAGTAATATTAGTGTAGTCGACTGTAATAGAAATTTTATAGTAATAATTGTACTTGTTTACTGTCATCAGGGTGAGGTAGATCGTTCTCGAATTAAGAGCAACCGTCCTGCTGTGAAGGCCCCCTTAAATGGAAATAGTCATATGTCATCAGCACAAAAGACCACAGCTTCAGGCAATCGGAGGCTAGGAAGGTCACAAAGTCACAAAGATCTCCATCTTTTACATGATGGTTATTCTGTAAGTTCTGCTTATCATGTCTAACGTGTTTATATGGAATTTTGGTTGTGTACAAGCTTATATTGGCGGCAGAAAATGTGCTACTGTTGAAATTTGAATTTCCCACTGTTGTTTTAATGTTTTTTAATGTTACATGGTGGTTAATTGTTGTTTTTGAACATACATCCAAGATATATATTGAGATCTGGCAGAATTAATTAAAAAATGAACCATGCGACCATTTTCTCTCATCGATCTGTCAGAGCCAGTCTTCTGCCCTAACTGACGAGGAATCAAAGGATACTCATTTTGGGAAACATGGTTTTGAGAAGATAATCTGGCCAGTATACTCACAGAAGGTTTTTTATTTAGTTTTTGGATAGTGATACCATGTAATTTAATATTGCTAATGCCATGTTTGCTAGCTCCTTATCCTTGTTTCTTCTCCTTGTTATATATTGTACTTTTTCAGGCAGAGCATCCCATTGACGATGCTGCAAATGGTGGATTGTACGAAGCAATGCGGAAAGAACTCAGATATGCTGTTCAAGAAATCCGAACCGAACTAAATCAAGTGCGTCAGAATGAATCATTGCTGAAACTAGTAGAGAGTTGTATTTTGTGATGGTCCTAATGGCTGTTAAACATGGACTGGTTTTCTTAGTTGAACTACTTATTTTTCTATGCAGGCAATGGGAAGGAATCAAATATCTAGTAATGACTGCTTGCAATCAGATAAGGATGCCTGTAGAATCAGAGAAAAATATGCAACAAAACTGGAGCAGGTGTGTTGCTCTGCTTTCTTGTCCTCAAATATTCCATTTCTGGTTCTCATTTTTTTTGGGTTTTTCCTTGTTCACTTTTTAACTTAACAAGGCAATAACCAGATGCTGAAAGCGGGTTTAATGAAGCTCTAGTCTCCGTATTCATGTCAATTTTTTAGGCTATTCTTTCAATGCAATGGATGTAGAAATAAAACAAATTTTTATCTAAAATAATAAAATAAACTTGCAGTTAATGTTAACCAAGATAAAATCGAGCTTGTTTTACAGTATTTAAATAATTTCAGATAGAGATATGCATCTGATTTAGCTGATAAATTAATCACTGTTAATTTACCTGGGTCATTTGAGATGGAATATTCTTTGTATACATGATAGTTGGAGAAGCACAAACAAGATCTTCTCAAAGAAATGTTATTTGAGGAACAACAGGGTCAAGAGGTGCCTAAAATGGTCAAAGAACTTCCATATTCAAGATCTTCAGCTGTGCCAGAGAAGCCATCACGAGCTAGAAAGGTCTTTTTTTGTTTCTTTCTCGACATTTTAAGTTTATGGTAGTAATCCAACTAATATATTGGTTAAAAATATCATATAATTCTTATAATAACTACTACTATTGTAACACATGTTTATTTTGGTGTTAAAAGAGAAGTAGCGACAGAAATAGGGTGTCGAAGAAATTAATTGAGGAGGCCGAGAGATACTTTGAGGACTTCATTTGTAACATTGAAGACACGGATATATCGTCCTTTGATGGTGAAAGGAGTGATGAGAGTTTGATTTTGGGCGGGCGAATGAGGGAAAGAGAAGATGTCACAACAGTAAGAGAGGCCAATCAAACTTGCAAAAAAGATCAAGCATCTCAACCTGTTGAAATGGATGGTGTTATATTGCCCTGGTTGCAGTGGGAGACTAGTCATGAAAATAACTCCCCGTTGAGAGAAAACAAGACTCCTTTGACTCCAAAATCTGTGCAGAGGAACTCAGAAAAGGTGCAGTTTAGTTTCTTTCTCCTTCTACACCCAACTTATCAGAGTCCTCTTGACATTTGTTTTGATTCTTACTTTAAAACATAACCGGAGTTTTTCATTATTAGATAGATTAAACTTTAGGGGTGGTTTTTGTTAGTTATCCTTATTTATAATCGAATAGGATTTTGTTGAGGAGATTTTTGCAGGATGGTATAATCGAATAGGATTATGTGGCATCCTGAACAGTAATGTAGGGGGAAGGTTTACGTACACTCTGTTTTCTTCAGTTGCCACATAAAGGATAGTGATAAATTGTGGCGATTCGTGTAGATTTTGACAGACTTTTTTTTTTTCAGGACTCGGACCAAAGTAGTCACTCTATCAGCAGTCATGGCAGTTGGAGCCCACGTGATTTCATTAGTCCTCTCATTATTAAGAGGAAAGATGCACGCAAAACTGTGAGAGTCGAAAATGCATCTGGATTTGACATGGATGAGTACCTTAAACTTAGAAATAAAGATGAACTATTGTTCGAAATGTACAAAGAGCGGAGCAGAATCAGTTCAGGGGGAATGCTGCTTTGCAATGGGGGCTTTTATTAATGTCCCAGTTTCTGTAATTGACTCGTTCGGCATTTATGAAGCTACTTATTTAATCACTCCTTTTCTCGAAGAGAGAGAAAAAAAAAAGGACCCACAATTTTCACCTTTTACTATTTGATATTTGGTTGTCTGCATTTAGGACACGATTGGATCATGGCTTCCAGCACAAGTTTCCACCAAAATCTTACGGCTCTGAGGAGGGAAAATTTCAACCGTTAACTTATCTGTGTATCGGGACATAGTTAAATAATACGCTAGTATATATACAAAATTGAAATTGTAAACAATATTTCTATGTGCATGTTTTTATCCAAACCGTTATTTTATCATGTTCATCACATTAATGAAGTAGAGCATAATATAACACTATTACAAATGTAGTTGAAATTGTTTTTAGTTTGTACCACTATTGATGACAAACTTGACCCAAAATATCAAGAGCTCCAAGAAATCTCCAGAAATCAGTGATTCTCAAGAAAAGGGGGCTTGCGATTCAAGAGGTGGACTTGATATATCTATAAAAGAGAGACTTATGGAGCTGCTAAAATAAAACACCACATAGAATTAGAAAATATAAGTTCTAATATGTGACCTTCGAGATTAGTCTGAGAATTTCTTTCAAACTGGTAAAATTTTATATACAATACAAACATGACATTCAAGATTTATACTGCTCGAGAATAGAAAGACTCCAAAGGACTGTGCATTCAAATCGCACAGCCATACGTCTGTCAAAACTCTTTAAATAACACAAGAACACAGTAAATTCAAATCTCTAGTACAACCCAATAGCAAGCACGCACACTTTCACCCGATACATTACACGCAACAAAAACACCTTCCTATAGCTCTCTCTATCTGCTGCATTTGACAACACATCATCTAATTTCAAGCTTCGATTCAAAAAAAAAAAAAGAAAGATAGATATATGCACAACAGAAGCAAATAGAAACCAAGCAATAGTAGAGAGATTGGACTCAGAAACACAAGGACCATTTTGAGCACAAAAAATATCCACGTGAAAGGAGAAAGGGCAAGGTACAAAAATATGGCAAGAGAGACCCGAGCAAAACTCGAAACTCAATTTAAAAAATTGAACAGACCCCAGTCAGCCATCAACAACTTCTGTAGTACTGCGTGCCATGCAATGAGCTATCCCTGCAGATATGCTTTTTATCCAATTTAAAGATTCCAATCAGAAGGCCCAACAAAACATTCCCAACCATTTCCTTTTAACAGAAATGGCTCGAATTTGGAAGTTTTTTTTAATCATTATAATGTTCGATTTTAGCTCCAAAAATTGAAATAACTGCTGATCAATCAATCTCTCCTTCCTCCGGATCATTTGAAGCATCCAGCTTGCTCTGAGGTTCGATTTCTTCTTCTTCCTCATCATCATCGTTCTTCATATACAAACCAAGCTGCTCAAGTGGATTAGTGCTTGCTTGGAACTTAAAACTACCAAGAACATTTGGAGAATTTTCAGGGCTTGCGGCCTCTATGAAGCTTTGCAATGGCTCGTCTTGTGTAGACCTTAGCATCTCCAGATCTTCCATAAATTGGCTGCTTTCATTGATTTCAACAGTCTTCTCCATCTGTCGAAAGCAAAATGTTTAAGCAGATATAGGCGAAATATTGAAACTAGGGATGACATATAATTCCACAAACGCCCTCGAGGATTAGCGTATTACAGAGAATCCCCACTCATCTTGTTACAAATACAATTTTGAAATTTTACAGAAACACTCCTATATTTAGTGAAACAAGTATCGTGCCTTCTTGAGAGTGAACTGGTACAAGAAACAAATGTGAACAAAGATTTTGTAATTTAGTTGACATTTCTCTTTCCCAATCAGATAAATCCTCGAGGATGATTTTATAATTATACCTAATTTTCCCATCCAAACAGTCAGCAGTATTTACCTTAAGCAGAGCTTGACGTGCAGCTTCCCTCTCAAGTTCTCTTTTCCTTTTGGCTTCTGCAGCAGCTTCCGCCTCAGCCTTTTTCCTAGCCTCCTCAGCAGCTTTCGCCTCAGCTTGCAATCGAGCTTTCTCTGAGAAGCATAGATAAATTAATCCTGTTATTGCATGGACAATCCTGATACAACCCAAGTACCAGTTCCACGACAAAAATAGACAAGTGAAAAATACAAGTCAAACCTTCTTTCCTCCGCCTTTCAACCTCTTCTTTGTCGAGCTTCAGTTTCTCGGGATCAGGTTTTTCTCCCTGTAAAAAGAAAATTTTTGAGTCAAAATCAACACTAACACAGGTGCAGGCAAGGGAGCGAGAATGCAATGAAGAAAGCCAGCAATCATGCTTTCTGTAGAAAAAAAAAAAAAAAAAATNAAAAAAAAAAAAAAAATCATTGTACCTTCTCAATCTCTTGAGCTTTGAGTATAATGTCGGCAAATCTGCTTCTCAATAGAGCTGCACGATACAGCTTATCAGGGGAGACTTGCCTTTCATGTGGAGCACTCTCCCCTAAAAATGTTCACATCATGTTGTGTGAGATTATGCTGCACTTTAACAGTAGCACGCATTTTCTTCACTAGTAATCTCAGTCTGCTTACCCTCTCGGTGACAATGTGGCTCAATAGACGAAGAAGGGTTTGATGCTGTATTTTGCTCATCAGCATTTCCGTTCAAGGAATCTAAAATTTAACTCAGAGAAGTTAACTGTAATCTCGTAAAATGTAAATAACATAGGGTACAAATTAATCTAGCCAAATCAGTTGGAGCCTGGAGGCTAACCTCCACTGTTCGGGTCCTCCCTTAGTTGCTCCTGCTTTACTAAAGCATCTGCAATTCCCTGGAATAGACCACAAAGGCAAAATAATAGAGAATTTCACTCAATAAGAATAAAAGAGACCTCCATGACACTACAATAAAAACACTAAACCAAAAAAGTAAAAGGGCATTAAAGAAAGAATCTGGGGTAGTAGAAGGGGGATAAGAAATGCTTACGGTTGCAGAACTAGCAAGAACAGACTTCTTGTCATCATCTATATCACATGCAGAACTCCCGGATTCTGTATCTGAAGGCAGATTCGAATAAATTGTAAGATTCGCATAAACATGCAATAGCTCTCTACCTCCCTATTTTTTATGATGATAAGTGCATGATGACAAATATCAACACTGCATGTTGTTGATTATATAACATCAGAAAAATGTAGCACGGATATTGTTGATGTACATGCCTATTTTCGCAAACTAGAGTTTGCAGCAACCAAATTAATCACATTGTGAATGCATGAAAACACATGCACACAAGAAAAAGATTAAAAAAAAATTGTGGTATCGCAAGCGAGTGGGAGAGAGCGGGATCCTTCTATCTGCCATATGAAAACCCATATTAATTAAGCACCTGCTGATTCTGCATTTCTTATAGCGAGATCTATATACAGGGAGAGAGAAAAATATTATTTCTTGGCATATTTGTTCGCCATTTATTTTCGCTATCCTCAAAGCTACAGATAGTAACTAGCAAGTTAGTATTCAATAGAGATTGTAGTTTAAATGGATTAAATATCAGAATAACGACTTATATGCATTAATGGGTTACATTCTTCTCCAGCTACAATTTAAATCTTACAGTTTACCGCTATAAAGGATTTTGTTCGGGGCAATTCAAAGTTTACCTCTCCCCACAGAAACATTGAATTAACAAATCTTATTTGAATAAACTAATTCCTCTATTCTGGCATAAATGAGGTCAATGAAATGAAGACTTGTTGGCAGGCAAAACGTCAAGGCATCAACAATACGCACAAAACAGTTCATAGTTAGCTGCAACTTAACAGAGTCAAATTCTAGCATATGAGATCAATCATTTATTTGAACCTATTTTATTGAATGAAAAATAAAATTGTATGGTGCATATGAAAGGGGAAACATAAATATATAGATACGACACCACAAAACCTTAAACATGCAATCCAATTTTGCTCTACAAAAGAAAAAATCACTAGTTTCACGAAATAGAAAATATTAATCATTCAACAAGTTCAAGATAACCACATATATGAAAACAAAGGAAAATAAACCCAATCAAGCACATACGACAACCATTCAACAGAATTCAAACTAAAAGCAATGACAAAAGGCAAACAATACATAAATTATAAAGGTTGAAACAAATTTAAAAAGGCTGAAACTGAAAATAATTAGTCTAGAAGTTAGCTGAACCTACACCTAGTGAGCAGTCATTATTTGTTAATTTACGCTGCATTAACAATTTAATGTAATTAGTCAATTGATTATTGTACTGCATTAACAATTTAATGTAATTAGTCAATTGATTATTGTATCTAATAAATCACATTTGTTGTACATATGCGCATGTTTCAGAAGAAAAAAGCTGGTTTTCCTTTTGCTTATTCTCTAACCTTGAATCTAGCAATTGACAATTCAACCATCATAGTTGAAAATTACTAAGTAATAAGCAGACATAAAAAAAATAAACAAATATAATGTGCTCGAGATTGAGTGGCCGGTTTGGTGTTCTATTTTCTCTTGCCATTTTGGTTGCAATATCAGGGTTTTGTTGAAATCGGCTTTCCTAAGAGATTTAGGGCCGGTCCAGTTGGGGTTTTCTACCTAAAATGACCCAGAAACATGCTATTTCCACCACAGCACCATGGCTGCAATTGTCATAGCAGGTGCCATGGCGCCGTCACCGGAAACCCGTCAGAGGGCAGCCAAAACACAGCAGCCAGGCTATGGCCGCTATTTGACAACACAGCCAACGAGTGAGGATGCATGATCACGATAAGCAACTAACTGAAGATCTCTCCTAGAAAGATACAGCATTACCACTGAGTTATATCATCCAACATAAAAACGTAAAGCTTATATACATAGTATAGTCATGTGCCCAAGGAAAATAAATGAAATGGGTAACAATGATAAAACAAAAATGCATCAGTAGTTCACAACAGTACAAACCAGAAGACGAGGAGCCCGACTCACTACCAGAGCCCATTGAACTACTGCATTTATTGTTCCTCCTCGCAGCATCCTCATGAGTTTTAATTAAGGGGGAACTGGATGCAGGTGGTGCGCCATTTATTCCAATATCCACATCATCAACAGGCGCATTTTCTGATTAATGTTTGAATGAAGAAGGAAAAATTAATAAATAAAATCAAACAAGTTGCAATTGCCATAAAATATAGAAATGCAACCCATCCGCAAAAGAAAATTACCTTTTCCAGGCTGGCTAGCTAATCTGTCAAACCCTGATTCCTTTTGCATCTGTGGAGCAAATACATGTATACAATACATGACATAAAATGATTCATACAAATTACAAATGTACCGGTGACACACAAAAGGATGTGAGATCTACCTCAATTTTACAGGTCTCTGGGTTTATTTGTTTTTTCTGCCTCTCCATAAGAAAATCATCCAACATTTTCCGCAATTTGAACAGAATTTCATCGCTTAGAGTATCCAGCTCAATTTCAATCTCATCCTCACTCACTTGACTACTATTGGAGGTGCTCTCCTTCAGAAAACTGACTATGTTATCTGGCAATTCAGCCAGATATTCCTCCAGGTCCATACCTAGTTTCTGTCTCTCACCTTCACTCATCGCCCGCTTTTCTTTCTCATGCCTGACATTGTTTTCCACAGAAGTAGTTTTCTGCTTCTTAGCTGGATGCAAATAAGCACTCTCAGTTTCCACAACGCCACTTGATTTTGTAATCGTCGATTCGTCCACTCTGGACGAAATCTTCTTCTCAATCGGTTTCCATCTCGTTTCGAAGAATTTACTCATTGCATCAGCCATACTATGGACAGCATGTCCAACTGGGTTATACGTCATCGCATTTTTGAATGTGAGTCTAACATCGGCAGCAAAATCCATTGGGTTGCTATACTGATTTGAAAGTAGCTTACTTTTCACAGTCCCTAAATCCATCGGATGCTTAATAACATTGAAGTAATCCGGAATATTATGTTTTACAATGTCAACTGGCTCGTTAAAAATCCAAGCTTGTTGATGCCCCATTAGCCGAGTTAACAGTGTTTCACACTGCTTCATCAACATGACAAAGCTGGTATTCTTTGGATGACCCTGCTGCTTCACAAGTTCGTTTCTGTTATTTGGCCCGCCTTTAGTGCGGGGCCCATTTCTTCCGGGAGGGACTTTCTTCTTCTTTGAAGAAAGGGGCAAGGGTTCTGCCATAACATGTCCATTCGGCCCTTGATCATAAGCATCAACAACAGCAGCCGGTGGAAGGGCTGCAACGTTTGAACTGAAAGAAGCTAATTTTCTCTGAAGCTTTAACACTTTATCAAGCTCGGTCTTCAACCTGATTTGTAAATCCCTCCTCTCAAAAGGTGACATCATAGACAGAGAAAGGTGCTGAGTCGGCACAACTGACCTATCAAAACCATCCACGTTCAAGCTGATGCACTTCCTATTTGGAGCACAGGGGTCCTGGGAAACACCCATTTCTATATCAGCCCGGCCCGAACTGACAAAACCTTCTGACTCAGCAACTGTTTCCAATGCATGCCGATAATCTGGCACAAAGCCAATCGAGTTACCCTTGGAAACTTTCCTGGTTTTACCCATCATATCCCTAGACTCCCCCAATTCAAGAACTTTTTGGATTCTCTCTGCCCTGTGTAGTCTACGGAGATAGCAGGCGAAAGAGATCTAGCTTCCGAATTCCGCACACGTCAACAGCTCCACACAACCCAATAACTTCTCTTCTAGCCAAGAAAGTAAATCCAAGACTTCAAATTCAGATGGAGCGCATAAAAACCTAACCGTAAAACAATATGTCACGTCAAGATTGCAGTCTCCACAAATCTTTCCTTCAGTACTCAACGCCAATTGCTGGTTCAAATTCAAAATGCAGCCCCTATAAATCTTTGTTTTCTCAGTCAGCTCCAGTTCGCGATTCTCGTGACGTCTTCTCCCCCAAAATCACTCGATTTTCAATCGAACCAATCCTAAATCCAACAAAAGCCTAAACTTCAACAATTCAGTAGACAAGAAACCCAAAATCCAATCCAAAGACCATTAAAAAAAAGTTCTCTTCGCCCGCTTTGAGAAAAAAAGACGGCGAAGCAAAATCAAAACCTAGATTCGAAAGATTGAGAAAGCGAATGAAAATGAGTTAGTGAGGACCTCCGGTATCGGATAGCCCGACCCATCTCAGACGAACCCTAGCTAGAAGTGGAACAAATTTGGTAAAATTCTAGAAATTACACAACCCAACTGGTGCCAAAAAATACATACGCACGCGTACGAGTTTTAGAGAGAGAAAAAGCACACAGAGCGAGAGAGAGAGAGAGAGGACTTACGTGTTTTAGGAATAGCTGAGGCGATTGAGATGTGAGGGATCAAAGGCTATTTAAATGCGAGAGCTGGCTTAAAATGCACCGTCGATTCTCGTGCCGTTATATCTAAGGGTATAGGATTAATCTCATTATTAACGCTCACGGGATGAAAGGTTCAGTCTCGTCAGACCAGATGCGTACACGTGGCGGTCGTGTCGGATGTGCGAAGAGGGATTTTGGGCTAACCGAGCGAGTGTTTGGGCTGTTGACTTCGCACACCAACGGCCCACTTTCATTTATTTTTCTAATGTTTTTGGGGTAGGCCTATTATTAAGAGAGCAGGTTAATCTAAAATCCTCCCATATATATAAGAAAATGCGAGTTTTGTGAGATTTTGGTTATGTTTGGTAACCAAATAAGTTATAGTTATTTGGTTAATTTATAAGCTTCCTGTATTTAAAAAAGAGTTGTTTGGTAGGAAGAGTTTTTTTAAAAAGCTCGAGCGTGTCTCATAAGCTTCTTTGAGTAGCTTTTCAAATAAACTAGTTGATATTTTTATTTCAGCTACCAAACATTTTTATCATATAAGCTAGCTTTTAAGCTATAAGTCACAAGCTATAAGCTATAATCTCAAAAATCACGTATCAGCAATAAGTTAACTTATCAGCTAGTTTTACCAAACATAACATTTGTTTATAGGAGGCACGTGTCTTCTTTTGCCTTATTAGTTTTTTACAAAACGACACTGTTTCAAGAGTTTTGTGTGGCCTGGTTAGCCCACAAACGAATCGAGCCGAGTCGAGTATTGATCTTATCGAGCAGGGATCGAATTTTTTTCACACTGCTCAGTTCGAGCTCGAGCTCGTCTAGCCTTGATTTTTGAAGCTCGACTCGACTCACCAGAAGAACTCGATTACTCGGGCTCGACTCGAGACAACTCGAATTATAAAGGCTCGAAAAATAGCTCGAGTTCGGCTCGAAAAAATTCCAACAAACACAGATCATCTATAAATTACAGCTCAACAACAACATTAAATATGTATTAACTTTCACAGCCCATTAAGAAAAGGTCCCTGCTTGAACCATAAATCACTCATCATCCAATTCAATTCCCTGCTCCCCTGCTTGAAACAAATTTAATAGAATCAAGTACAATGCAAAACTGAGTACAATGCAAAGGCAATAACCAACAAATTCCCAAAAGTTCATAATCCAAATTATCCAACAGTACAACCAACAAATGTCCAAGATTTCATAATCCAAATTAGCCCAACAAGTTATACACATCAAAAACTTAGTAGTTCGAAGTTCGAACTTTCAAAATGACAACACTCCAGCATTCTTGGACCTTCCTCTTCGGCATGTAGAGGTCCAAGTCCAACACCTACAAATATTCAAGACATTCCATCAGAAATGTATTAAGAATGATACACATTATATTCAAATCAGAAAAGTATCTAGAAGATTATAAATTGAACAAAAAAAAAAGTGATAACCTTCAAAGAATCGGCAACAAGATTTGTTGGGCAGACTTCACTTTCTATAAACAAAAAAAAAATAAAACACAATTCAGAATAAAAGAATGTTTAATCATTATTGATATGGAATTATGTTCTTAAAATTTTAGTGTATTTACCTTATCTTTTTTCTTGATGCCATGTAGCTTACAACACCAATCACCAACGCACATCAACATCTCAACAGATTCCGGTGCCAATGAGGAACGATATGCATCAATCACTCTAGTTCCGGCACTGAATATAGCTTCTGAAGCAACCGTACTGATAGGGATGGCTAAACTATCTGCAGCCATCTTTGGCAATATCTTGTACTTTGATGTGTCTTCCACCATTTGAGTGCATCTAGATTCACAATATCCATACATGGGTTATCTTTGGCAGTAAGCAAGCCATGCTCAAAGTAGAAATCCAATTCGTTCTTTTCTGGTCGAACACTCTCAGTGGCTGAAACACTCATGAGAAATTCACCCATGCCTGAATAAGGTGCTACAGCTATTGATGGACTGGGGTTCGGGCTGGAAGAATTTTTAGTAACATTTTGACTGCTTGAACTCGAACTATACATCTCGACATACTCATCATATAGATCATATAATGTCTGCCGAACTTTACTTATGTTCAGTTCCACTTCGTAAGAAGGATATATAAGTGGAAAACAATAATTTTATGACCTTCATTTTGCACCTCGGATCCATGATTGCTGCTATAGACATTGACAAATTGCACTCGCACTAATATTTATCAAACTTCATTTTCATTTTTCGCACCATCGACTGAATAAAAGTATCTTCATCATCGGCTTTACTATCTAGTATCCCTTTTATCCGACAAACTTCATTTAAAATATAGATTGGCTGTAGGATAATCACTACCGGATATCACATGATGTCCAAAAAACTTGCAAAATATTACAAACCTTCTCCACTTTATCCCAATTCTCGGCGGTTGGACATTGTCTGAAATGCTGCTCTCTATCTTTGAATCAAGGAAAAACTTGTCGATACTTGAGTGCACAAGCCAACATCTCAAAGGTCGAATTTCATCTTGTCTTGCAATCATAGATTAACACCTTTTCAGGTAAGTGCAACTGCTGGAAAATTTGAGCAAAGAGAAGACGTCGCCCGTCTGTTTTGTTTATGAAATCCACCTTACTTCTTATCACATCTACAATATCCTTGAGTTCACCAATGCCATCTTGGACCATTAAATTGATGATATGCGCACAACATCTTACATGAAATAACTTCCCTTTTGCCAACAGAAACTTGTTTTTTGAAAAGATATCCTTCAAGGCTCTCAATGCTGTGCCATTGTTTGAGGCATTATCCACTGACACCGTATAGATTTTACTCTCAATGCCCCACTCTTGCAAGCATTTGAATACAAAATCTGCAATTTCGACACCGCGGCGTGGAGGGGAAATATGCACAAAGTTGAGGACACGTTTTTGCAATCTCCATTGGCTATCGATCCAATGCCCAGTTATCACCATATATTCAATCTTCTGATTTTTTGACTTCCAAAGATCTGTAGTCAAGCTGTAGTCAAGCTGATCTTCTGGACTTTCTTGAACAAATTTTTCAGTTTGGACTGCTCTCTCTCGTATATCACTTTGCAATCATTTTTGTTTGCAGTTCGGCTGATCTTTTGCCATTTTTTGCCATTCAGGTATTCCTCTTTTCAGCAACAGGTTGAATCCATCTTCCTCGACAATTGAAAAAGGATGCTCATGTATTAGTACCCATTCGGCAGCGGATTCTCTCATGGCAGCCATGTCAAATTTACCAGTATGAAGATATGGATGAGGTGTGCTTGAATCGGCTGATGGAAAATTAATCTTTTGTTGTTGCGGTTACCTCAATTTTTTCATTCTCTCGGTGCACGACGTCAGGTGCCTCAGCATACTAGTTGTTGTGCTCGTCTTGGTTTTCTTCAGTTTTACTTTGCAATGTTTGCACTCACAATATTTATCATCCCCAACGTCTACTTCCTCGAAATCTTTCCAAGCTTCTGACTTTGTTGCCCTTTTCTTTTTCCTGAATGCATCTAGAGAGTCAATGTGGTCAGCCGTTTCTTCCTCGATCTCCTCGGCATCGACCTCGGCCTCATCTGCACTGCGTAACTCTTCATCTCCAAGAGAAGGCACTTTTTCTGCCTCATTATCAACTTCAATTCTATTGTGGATATCCATTAGGCTAGCAGAATCTCCAACTGTTCTAATGCTTCCATTATCAACTTCAATTGCATTGTTGATATCCATTTGTGAAGATATTTCTTGAGGAGAGGGAGACGTCATCCTTTATGTAGTCTGTACTCTGTAGCCACATAAAAAATTAATAAGCTTGAAATGTTTTATATTATTTTGTATCAATCAAAAGTAACAATAAGCTATTAGCAATCAAACAATATACATCAAATCCTTGGTAAAACCAATCACAGAACAAGAATGCTTAACACTAAATAATGCTATTTGTTAAAGCAGATAACCAATACTAGATCATAAAACTAACAGTTAACCTACCAAGAATGCAGCTAACTATGGAGTAATGCATGGTAATTATGTGAATAGTATTCAATTAGTCTTTAGTGTGGTATAATGGAGAGTCCGTAAATATCCCATTAGCAATTGTCAACAAATATCCCAGCAATTTAATCACAGAGCTTGCTGTACATTCTAGTAACGCTTCCAAAATGATTTATAAATAGAAAAACTTTCTTTGGTAAAAAATTAAAATGAAAGTCAAATTGAAAAAGTGAGAAAAATAATTTAATCACAGAGCTTGCTGTGAAAACACATGCACGAGTGGGAATAGTTTGTCCAAGGTGGCACTAAGTTATAGTATGGGTCGTGCTCTAATTGAAAAAGAACGTGACAATATGCTAAAATTGTTTCGAACTCAGGTCTGTATTTGGTTTTGCTCTCAATCTCTCATGGGATGATTTAATATCACCTTTTCTGTTTTATTCCACGCGCAATGGTAAATTTTCCATGTGCTCTTTTTGAGACTCATGTTAATGTGAATTTGACTAAGATGCTAAGGTAATACCAGATTTTAATGACTTACTGTATAAGTTTGTGGATTATCAACTCTGTATCTGTAATTGCTTACTCGCTTTGAACTATTTTGTCTGATTTTCATTCGACAAGAGTATATGATTAAGAAAGACCTAATTAAATATGATAGAGAGACAAGAAACTGAATCTCAGGTAAAAACATCAAATTTAACGAAACATGATGCCTGAAGAAATATAAAGAACAGATTTTATATTATGTCCATATAAACACATGCTTGCTGGCAAAAACTTTCTTTTGTTAAAAATAAAATAAAAGTCAATAATATCAGATAACAATAACAAACAATTAAAGGCAAATAACAATCAACAAACAATTAACAGTGCTAATGCTAGAGCAGATAACAATCCACAAACAGTGTAATCCTCTCTGGGCTGTTGTCCGTACCTTCAAAACCAATGCTAGAGCAGAAAACAACAGTGCTAATGCTCGGATACTTCATGTTAAAGGCAAAAACTGAAATTTTCTATCACAAATTGCTCATGTAAAGAGAAGGTTCCTATTACCTCTTAAAATTACACATTCGCCAAAATAAAATCATGTTCTATCAAACCTAAATCACGGATTTTTAACAGATAAAAGTGTAAGATGTGGAACTTACATCCTCGAAACTATGACCATGAGCCCGTGACTAATTCGCCTCACAAAAACCGATGGGCGATGGCTACTGGCGATGGACAAATGGCCACGAGAGAGTGGCGAGTGGCGACGAGCCGATGGCGACGGCAATGTTATGATGGACGAGGGGGAGGGGGATGGGAGTTTGCGACGCAGGAGATGGTGATGGGCGGCCTAGGGTTTGACGGGTAGAAAGAAGAAAGAAAGAAAATGAATTGGAAAGGAGTAGAAAATGTGGATATATTAATGAGTGGAATGAAATTTTAAAATGACCAAATTCACTCTAAGGGTATATTGCCTTGTACTACACCTCTAAAGGCTATTTTCGTAAATTTATATAAATAACGAGTAGCTCGTCGAGCTGCTCGCGACTGCATAAACGAGGCTCGAGACTTGGCTCGAGCTCGACTCGAGCAGCTCGAGGTCGAGTCGAGCTCAAGTTTGACCGAGCTCGAGTCAAGCTTTGCTCGAGCGCTCGCGAGCTGCTCAAGTCGTTTGCAGCTCTAAGCCTGGTTTATGGGCCACGTGTAGCTTGTTTGGTCATTTTGTTCTTTTACAAAACGACAACGTCTCGATGGCTGCGTAGACTTGTTTTTGAGGTAATTTTTTTCGCCAAACGATATCGTTGGTGAATTGGGAAAAACACAGACCTACAGATCTGAGTAAAGGTTTGCTCGTTGTCTCCCTGTTTCAACCTTCTTGCATGAAAAAAATCCCTCTTTCCATGTGCTGATCGATTGAAATCATTGAGCGGGGAAGCCAACGATTATCATTTTTCGAGCTCAAATTTTGGTGTGGTTGGCTAGAAGTTCTAGATGCTGGATGGTGCAAAATTCCCTCCTTGCATCCGCAATGTGGTAGGGTTGCCTGTCTCTGTGCGCTACTGCGTGTAGATCATGATACATGAAGCCCATATTTTTCTTTGTGTTTTGGGGATTCAATTGTATGGTGCTTTTGTTTTTAATCATTTTTTTTTTTTTTTGNTTTTTTTTTTTTTTTGGTAATTTATTGGTTTGGTTTATGTTTATCGTACTCTCTTACAGTTGATTTCGTATTCATTTTCAGAGGTGGTTGTAGATCCCGTGGGCGTGGAATGGAGATTGTTCGGTCGAGTTTCCGGCAGTTGACTCATCACTATCATTTTAAATGTGTTGTTTCCACAGGTGAAGTGGCCTTGATTTTCCTAACGAATTTTAATGTCAATTTCCTAATTTTAATCTATTTTTCTAATAATTTTTGAGCTTTTACTGCGTGGGGACTTACTGTAGATCTTTGTGTTATTTTTCTAATTTTAATCTTATTTATGGAGTTATTAATTTCAACATTTTTTTATATCTCATCCTTATTATTTAGTATTTTAAGTATTCACAGACTGACTGTTTGTTAGTTGTATACGCAGGTCCAGCAGTGTTTGCTTAGGAGATTCAAGTAATTGCTTGGGGTGGCTTGGTGATACATGAAGTTAAGCTTGGAGTTTCAGGTATGTGATTTCTATATTATACTTGTTTGTTGTTGGTTTGTTATTGTGTGTGCTTTTAACAAGTTTTGCTTAATTGAGTTTTTTTGTTCGAGTATTTGCTCTCTTTTTTCGATTGGGTGTTTATTGCATATTCAGTTATTCTCTATTTTTTTGGCTTGAAATCACGCATGTTTCAATTAACTTCATTAATTTATATGATGGTCTTGTGTGTTTGAATTACAATCTTTTGGATTTATATTAATTGCGTCGTTAGGTTTTCAATTTGGGGAAAAAGGCATAGAGAGAGCGACGCTATACGATAAATTTAACAATTACCCATCGTATTTTGGAGTTTTCTTATCCTCTCACGCGCCCACGCGGTCACTAATAAGGCTTGAATTTGATTTGACTTAACTCGTTAAGGTTCAAGTTCATTTCGATTTGTTTATCTCAAACTTGTAATAGCTTGTTTCGCTAACAAGCTGAAGTTGGGTCATTAATGCTAAATTAAAATTATTATATAAGGAGTTTTTTCAATACAAGACCCAAAAGGTGGGATAAATTATCAAATTTGGGCCTGAAAGATTTTTTTCCTCAATTCGAAACTTAAATGTTATAAAACTATCAAATTAGATCCTAGAATTAACAAAACTCATAACACCATTAAATTGAGAGTTTAAAAAAAAAAAGAAAAGATTAGTGCTTACTCACATAAAATANTGAGATGCCCATACCTTTGAACTTACGAAGACTGTCAAAGAGAAATACAACAAGCAACTAAATAACCTCACTAAAGGAGACAAAAAACTCCAAGCACTGAGACTTCAACCAGACTCAAGCTGGCGGATACCAAAAAAATACACAAGAAAATTAAGAAAAACAACACCTACGCTAAAAATAGGATAAAAGCTCTCTTACTTCTTACGAGTCCATACACCGCTAAGGACACACGACAATACACACGTCAATCCCCGAGGAGTTTTTTAAGCGAGAAAATTTCTAGATTAATGGTGTTTAATTGGATGAGCTCATTTAGTCAACAAAGTCACGCACGGGTCATATTATTGCAGTCTCTATCTCGGCTCATTCATACCTTGACTATAAATGTATACAAAAGTTGGTACTTGTTGTACTTATTTGGACAGATAATTATAAGCTACTGAATAAATATAATATAGAATTATGCTTTTCCGTAATCGGTTCAAACCTATAAGTTTGATTTCACATTTCAGTAAAGAAAAGTAAATGAAAATTAATATACTAATTTAACATTAACTTGTGTACTGTTCTGTACTTATCTATCTTCTCATGTAAAGGCATTTATGCCACTTACAGGCGTACTTTCGATAATTAAAATTAGCATTCGTACAAAAAGCATCACACTAAAATTAATTGCACACACAACTAGAAGATATTGAATCTTAATCAAGAAGCTTATTTTTTTAATAACATTAAAATTTTTAAATTGAAAATTCAAAATTGAAAACAAAAACGTAGTAAAAACATGACATTTTATAGCTAGGAAACAAAACACTCTTAACATACTTATTTACAATCTTATAATATGCATATTAATCCGCCGGATCAATTAATTAATTGACTTTACTTTTAGAGTTAATGACCGACCCAAAGCGAGAGAGCAGCAGTGGTGTCCAGCCTCCATGCAAACCCACCGCAATCCAACCTCCACGCGTCGCACGGCACCGTTTTGACCCCTTTCTCATCCCTGCACGTGACCACTCTAGCTCTGCACGTGAACCCCACGCACCCAGTCGGCAAAGTCACTCCACGCTCCACCACCACCCACGCCGCCACCTCCTCCCCTTCCTCCCCACCCACCATTCGCCGGAACGCCTCGTTTGTCCAACTCACCCGGTTCGTCTCGTCAGATATGAACCCAGGACACGTGTCCCGGTGCAGCCCCAACACCTTCTCCTCATCCGTACACCCCATCCCCACCGCCGCCCACGCCTCCGCCACCTGCTCTACCTTTACCCACGACTGAACCACCGCGGCCCGCCGCCACGCGCTCCACTCCACCTCCGTCCGATCTGCCTCGATCCATCCGGCGCCGGCTTCATCCCCAAAACTCAGCCACAAAGGGTAACTCCGATTCGGCGCCGCTACCTTCCGATTCTCCTTCACGCCGGGCTCCTCCGGCAGCAGCCGCAGAGTTCTCACATCCTTATCGCCGCCGGTGACAGATCCGCCGGAATCGCCCTTCTCCGGTGAAGGATTTCTCCTCCTGCTAAAATTATTCCTCCGATTTCCAACCTCGCGCCGTCTTTTGCCGCGGCCAGATTTGGCACGCGCGCGGCCGCTCCTTGGCTCGGCGTAGCCGCCGCTCGCACAGCCGGAGACAGATCCAGATCCATCGGGTGAAGTCGGTTTGGGAGCAATCGGCCGGAACTTGAGCATTATCCGGTCCATCTTGGACACATCATACGCGGCGCCGGCGTACCTGGCCACACAATTCATTTTTTCCGGCTACAAATCAAAAGTTAAAAGCCGAAATATTTTAACATTAGAAACCCTAAAATGGTGGAAACTTGTTCACACACTATGGATGATTAACTGCACACAGCACAGGTGGAGAGCTCTGGTTTATACAGGCGTGAGGGCCTCAGCACGTGCGAGGAAAAGGACCAAAAGCGCCGCGCGTGCAAGGGAGATGATTGGCTGAAGGCTGACGCGTGGCCCGGAAGGCGGGTCCCACCAATAGAATAGGCAAGCTGCAGCCAATGGGGAAATAGGTGGGGCCCAGTGGGGAGCCAATTAGAGTACGAGGTGTGGTTTTGGAGGTAGAAAGAGGGGCCCATGAATTGGGGATGGAAATTCCAGAAAGGGAGCGTACGTGGACGTCGGGATCCGAAGATAAGCGTATCAATGAAGGTAGATTGGGCACGTGTTTGAGCGGATTGGTACCGTTCTCGTGTTGTCAATGAGTCTTTTAATTACGACTATTATTTGATTACGTGCATTTGTACATATATAAAACATGTTTTTGTTTGTATTTATTAATTATATATGTATTTCTAAGTTTTATCATATAAAAATTATTATTTTTTCTTCACTTATTTTTATCATTCAAAATTAATTGAGATTTAAATTTTATTTTAACCATGCAACGTTTACATTAGTAATATGAATAAAATAATTTATATATTTGTGGCATATATTAAGAAAATTAATATAAATAAAAAAATTATTGGTGTTTCTGATAGAAAAAAAATATGTGCAATCATATTTTTCTTCCAACAATGCAACCAAATATAGCGGTTACATCTCTGAATGTGTCAATCAACTTTAAGTTCCAACATTCGCCGTACACATTTGAATATTTTGCTACAAATTTAGAATTAATTTAGTAACTGATACAACAAAATAAATGATAAAAATATATATATTAAGGTGTAATGGTTTTAACAGATTAGTGAGTAATTAATTAAAAAAAATGTAACTCCTTTTAGAGGGAAATGAAAATAGGTTTTATTACATGTTTTATTAAATGCATCAACTAGTAATTATATATATATATACATATATATATATATATATATATATATATATTAGAGTTGTTATAGGGGTGATTGGATATAGTTTCAATAATAAAAAAAACTAATCAAAAATTAAATTTAACTCAACTTTAATTCAATTCCATTATCTCCAATATTATCAATATAACTAAATAATATCAACCAATCATTTTTACACATCACATCAGCTTTAATTCACGATTCATCCACTCACATAATTTTAACTAATCATCACTTCCCAATCATTTTTCTCCTACTTTACATCAAATCAACTTTAATTATTTTATTTAAATATTATTTTAATATATCTGCTAACAACTAACCATACCACATTTTATTAAAATTAATTATAATTAAAAAACAAACCAAATAAAAACTAGTTGAATTCATAAACAATCACCCGTGCTATTGGTAAACAGTTATAATCAGTTAAAATTAGTTAAAATTAAAATAAGTTATTGAGTGTAAAGAGAGATTGTAATTATATAATAATTAAAATGTGGTATACAAAAGACCTCTAATCGGTTGGATTCAGCGTGATTCGAGCTTCTCGCTGGTTGAACGCCTTGATACTTGAAAAAACTTTCACACCGGAGGGATTTTCCTGTGAAGAGTCTCCGACGCTTAAGTTAGCATTTGTAAAAGATAAAGTGCAGTATATGTATGTAGAATAATGGAGATTATAATGTGATGGACATACCTCACTCTCTTATGTAGGAGGTGATACCTTGTTCCCTAAGACTGCCCGGTGAGCTGCCCGAGCTACCCGTTCGTACTCTCCGATCTTTCAAATCTGCTCGAACTGCTCAATTCTATTAGGCCAAATGACCATATCGACGTGGGGTTCTTATCCCCTTAAGATTCCTTCTTATCCTTTGGTCTTTCTCATTAGACCGCTTAATGGTGCGACCTCGAACTCTATTGAGGTAAAATGTTGTATGTTTCAAGCCTGAGTGTTGTCATTTCTGGTCGATTGCACAACCAACCATACTTACAGATCGAGTTTCTAACAGACCATCTCTCAGCACTCGTGCGTTCCCTGCCGCCTGCCAGCGCCTGGACCTAGTCAATTTCCATGACCAGCAGCCGTGGTTCGTGCGCGCCCGTGCATCAGTGACCCGCGAGTCCAAGGTTCTCAAAACCGGACCGGACCGGCCGGTTCGACCGGTTCAACCTGGAACCGGCAAGCACACTGATTCGGTTTGAGCTTTAGAACCGCCGAGATACAAAACCGTTCACAAACCGCCTGAACCGATAAACCGGAAGCGGTTCGGACAGCCAGCGGTCCAATTGAGCTTTGCAATAGAAGTGTCTGTAAAATCATTATATAGCAGACTTTTCTTCTTAGTGTATTCAATGTGGGACATGTTACTAGTCAATTATCAAATTGTGCTGCATCTATGGGCTGTATCTATGGGTCTTACGTGGACCTTGGCTTTGGCATTGAGAATCAGCAGGCTGATAACAACTAAATAATAATTTTCACCAAATTATTATTGGGAAAAGTACATATGAATCAACTGGCTGACCAAATCCTTCACTTCAAATATAACAAGACTTTGCACCATATTTTATTCTATTAGAATATATCTGTTATGGAAAAAAATGGCTAAATAACTAAATTTTATTCTATTAGTATATATCTGTTATGGGAAAAATGGCTCTGCATCTAACCACATAAAAATTTGAGGTTACCACTATAAATGACTAAATGTTAGTATATTCTTTTTAATTATATTACCAATTTATAAATTAGAAAGAAAGAAATTTATTGTTATGCACATAATTTTATTTTTTTAATTAATAAAAAAACTTAAAATCTGATTTATAAAATAAAATACAAACCTTGTTGTATATATGATTATTTTTTAAACTTAAATATAGATTCAAAATTTAAAATATAAAAAATAAAATAAAAAAAGTTATGAACATTAGTCAACATTGTTAAATGTATCTATTATTGAACTCTTATTTAGAAAGATGTCATTATATAGTATAAAATTAATGAAAAATATATATACAATGATATATTATAGATATTAAATAAATAAAAAATTATATATTAATTAAACCGTTCGACCACTGGTCCGACCAGTGAACCAGTAGCTTCACTGGTTATATGACCGGTTCGATTCTCAGAACCTTGCCCACGACACACCTCCGAGACCCTCAGCACCCCTGCCTAGGCTAGCAGCATTGTGACCTAGGTCTCAGCGAGCCCGAGTCGTGTTGGGCAGCCGCAGCGTCCGGTCGACCCGAGCGACCAGCGAGCCGAGGCGGGACTGACCAAGCGCGGACCTGCCAGTTCGAGACAGTGAAAAACCAGAAATTTTCGAGCATTAGAATTTATCCGAGAACCTTAGACAAGCTTAGAAAGGCTGAGAAGAGTTGGAGAAATTATGTGTCTTATTTGCTTTTAATTGTTTAATTGCCTTAATTGCTTTGTTTGCCTTATTTGTCGGTTTGCTCTGTCTGGTTTCAAAATCCTTAGTTATAAGATTAAATTAATTAAATTGTAGATTATAGAGGAGTCGGGTCCTCACAAAGACGCACGTGCATTTTCATATATTCAGTTAAGGTGGAGATTTCCATGCTATGTCTTATTCTTAATAATTGCAAGATATTGGTAATTGATGTATGTTTGTGAGTATTTGTCCACCTGGACATCAAATAAATCCCTCCTTGTCGAGTGGGCCAGCCCATGTATCCGACGGATCAGTTCAGACCATTTTATTCATTTGTATACTGAGATTATAGTATCCATTATTATCATGAATAATCACTCATTATTATCATGAATAATCACATAGTATAGATTACCATGGTGAGCTAGTTGTTTTCCTCCACCCCCCTACCCTTACAATTTACCATTTTCAGGTTAAGCATCTGGTGCCGAACACGAGGGCCAATGGTGGTCATTTTCATGAGTTGCAGTTTTATGCTTCTGCTTAAACATTGTCCAGACTTATTGTTTTCAAATGTTTTGAGGCTGTGTTTGGATGTTGCGATTCAGTTGTTTCATTTCAGTTAAAGACTAGTATTCCATCACTCTGCTTTGAAAAAGAAAGTAAATTTTGGGAAGAGATTTCCTAAGAACCTAAGTGCGAGACTTAGGTTAAGATAAGAAAGAAAAAAAAAAACGTTTTTAAATAAGTACCCTAAGATGAGTTTTAAAAAGTTAAAATGATTTTGAAAAGTTCGAATTTCTTTTTGAAATTTATCTAGATAAGGTGATTAATGCATCTTTTTTGAACAAATTGACAACTAAATGTATATTTACGTTAGGGGCAACATAACGTCTCGTTTATTAACAACGTCCAACTTAGTGTATGTTTTTTTGAAATTTTTCCCCTAACTATAATTATCTCATTTTCTCGTAAAAAATCTTCGGACATATATATTTTTTTCAGCATCTTTGGCAATTGTTTAATTGATTAATAACAATGGTAATGTATTCAGGATATAGATTAAAATACAACAGTAATGATATGGAGCCAACAGCCAATGGAACAGCTCCACGTGGGGCTGTCCCACATGCTATATTAACTTACAATAAAAATGGATCATTTCGATAGTTAGAAATGATAGATTTATTCATAAAATGATGACAAAATACATAAAAAAAAAAAGGAATGGATCAATGGACCCTACATTTCTTTTCCATTTTTTTTAATGTGCTTTCATGCACGGATGAAAATTAAATTTTTTGATTTTTTTTTCCTTCTGACCAAAATTTCCAAAGACAGTTTTATCACAACAATAAACACGAATAAACCAAATAAAGTTGTATCAAAGTATTCTGGGAACATAAAATACAAAGGGGTATGAACAAAGATAAAAAAAATAAAAATTGAGAAATTAAGATGATCACATCAGCCTACAGCTTTATATGTGGCTTGGTGTTTTCAGGCTTCTGATGATGAGGAGAACATTGTCGAGAGTCTCGAGACCCATATTTTCGGTTTAGGAAAACAAAATCAGTAAAGAACGGTACTGAGTTCACTGAGCTGTGGCCTCTTCTTTCTTATCCCCCAAGTACCTAGCAATAAGATACACAGAGAACAGAAATTAGAAGCGAATCTACAATTCAGTCCCATGAACAAAGTACTTGAATTTATTCACTTTCGATATTCGTGGTCATATGAAAAAATATTGTTCACTATACTTTTCGCGATTGAAGAAGCTTTGGGATCAACATTGATTTTCTGAAATTGGAAACTGTTTAACTATCCGAATGGGAAAAATATAGCCAAGCTCAGAACTAGAATCATACCAAAGCTGATACAGTTTCATATGGCTTTACATGATGTTTATGAAGCTGTCATATCTCAAAATACAGTTGATGGGTCAGTTGAAAATGCTGCTATGATTCGAATCAAATGTAAAATTAGCATCTTGCAACTCAAATCAAATGTAAAATGCTGTTAAATGTTTTTTTTACTTCAGATCTAGAAATCTGCTTGCACTTTTACAAAGTCCATAAATAAACTTTACAAAAAACTACATATCATAGCTTTTTTTCTAAATAGTCCTCACAAACTTTCCCTTTTTCCTTTTCTGTACAAAACATTTTGTTTTCCTGAAGATTTTTAAACTACAATGACAATTATTTAGAAACAGAGGGAGTATAGTATTGTGCATCTTTGGAAAAAACACATGTTACAAAATAAGAAAGTTTTTATTAGTTACTAAATAATATTTTTCTATTTTTTATTAATTAATAGTGTATATTAATGTCGTGAATCATTATACTTTTTTGGACCATACTATTCTTTTTTTCTCATATTTTTATGTAAATTATTTTACATAACCAATTCTGTCTATAATATTAACAAACATTTAACAGTTCAGTCAAGTTACCAAACACTAATTTTAAATCAGCTATAATCTACCGTCTATTGCCTATCAGATATCAATTCCTCCTCATCGGCTCAATCAAGAACACCATTAACTAAGTTAATTTTGAATTTTGGATAATAATCTCTTAAGAGGGAGTCGAGTAATTGTGATGACAATCAAAGGTATTTTCAGTTACATGAAGTTCCACCAATGAGAACAAAACAAAATTCTAATTGGTCCTCGTTTTCACCAAATCTAATATTTTCTGAATAAATCCTACTTAAAACTTTGAGAGTTTCTTTGAGGCCATATAAATTTATCAAAATTATTCAAAAAAAAAAAATAAAAAAGAACAAGAAAAAATCATTAGACCTAGGTTTTGGAACTAACCCTTGGCCCTTAGCCCAGCGTGAGAGTTGATAAAGTTGCACTGTCTCGTTTGAAGCATGACAGGCAAGCAGCAGATAGTTGCGAGGCTGAACCATCCATGCAAACCTCATGAATAACCCAGAATATACGCACATTGCTGCATAATTATTATTTTTTAAATAAAAACAAATGTTAAAATCGGGTCATTTTAAATTAGAAGGACATAATTTGCTCCAGAATTTTAATTTAAGACCTGCAGTCATGTTGCCAGATATCATTTCTGGGGGTTTCTTCATGTCCACCAGTCCCTTTAAAAACCATTTAACAGTAATTTATACAAAAGTTTCAAAACTAAGTAACTTATTCTGAGTTTTTGTTTTACTGCTCGAGCTAAAGAGGCATACAGCAATGACAAATCCCCAATTAGCTACAGGGCCCCAAAAATGAGTTGTTTTGGGTCCAATGGGACTGTTCAAAAATGCTTTGAAGGAAGAAGCCATTGATGAGTCAGCTAGCAGACCTACAAACAGATATAATCAGCCAGAGATGGCATAGATAATGTATATTGAAACAATAACCAAATAAATTCCTGTGAAATCTGAAATGTCAACAGGTTTGAGATAAATTTTGAGATTTTAAAATATGTTGCATTGATCATGAAAGTGGTGGGCAAAAGCAAACATATTTACAAAACCGAGTGACACGCAGATGAAACAAAATAGAGATAACAAGAGACAAAAACTGGCATATACACTGACTAAAAATGGTTCGAGGCAAACCAAAAGCAATACACACAAAGCAAACAATTCTTAATTGAAAAACTCAGAATAGGAATTCCTACAATCACCCTACCCAAGGACAATAACAAACTGATGGAAGCTAAAACAAACAGAATTAAGAAAGGGAAATATGTCAAAATAAAACATAAGCAAAGTTAATAAACCTCTGAAGTCTGACTACAGAAACTGTTCAGATCAATTAACCTCATGATTCATACCAAGTCCAGATTATTTTAAAAACGATGTTAATAATAGCGCATAAACTGATAAACCAGCACTTTAGTAAGTTATCTAGTCGCCAATATGCACATTTTCACAAGGAATCCCTAATAACACCAAGACTTTATCAAATCCAAGAAATTGGGAAAACCTGAAGAACAAACCTCATTGTGAGTCACTGTGCAACCAAATCAAGCAAGATCAAAATTTAAAATAATGTTGCCTCAATTTGAACCCTTATTTTTAATACCGTTTGAACAATCCCTGAACCCATCAATCCATTTGCATATACAAACCCATGAAAGAGAATAGTCAAACTAGATACAGTCTTAACGGGCAGATATATCATCAATTTCTTCAAGATTGGCCAGATATATCATCAATTTCTTCAAGATTGTATATATTTCATGATTTGAATAAAGTGCCATAGAAACCATCATACCCAACAAATAAAAATCCCAACTTTGGGGAAAAAGAAAAGAAAAAAAAAAATAGAAAACACCAAATCAACGAATCAGAAAGACGAGAATTCACTTGTACGTACAGAGACACAGATAAATGTGTACATAAATTTCGCAAAGGTCATACCTTTGGCGAAAATTTCTCAGCGTTCGTTGATTATAATAAAGAAAAAAATTATTTTAAACTCTCGATATCGTTGTTTGGTGGTCTCTATCTAATTAAGATTGTATGGTAAACTGAAGCCCGTTTTAAGAAATGTAGTTTATAAAGGTCTCTATCTAATTAAGATTGTATGGTAACTAGCTATTTTAATTAAAAAATACTTGGAAAATTAGTTTTAAAAGTTGCATGGATAACTTTTTAAATTAATCGAAAGAATATTTGAAATTATATTTTAATAGAATGGTAAAGTTTTCAGAATTCCTAAGAGATTATATGTTTTAATAAATTATATGTTCATTAAATTTCTATGTAATATATAAATAAATTATTATAATAAATTATGAGTGAATAGTCCGTCCAATTCAATTTGAATATCGTATATTTATTTTATACTAAGCAGTATTATTCTTTCGAACATTATATTTATTATTCAATAAAATAAGCATATATTATCTAATGCAGCGGGAAGCATGAGATGGGAAAGTTGAACAAAGAAGAACGACGAACAGTTCTTTTCTTTTTGTATTCAATCTGATAACATCATAACTGCCCTCCAACATCTCATACGGTTTATTAATATTATCCCCTAATCACATAAAATTTCCAAGCCCGTAATAATAGAAGCCCAACCTATAACATAAATAAATACAAGAGAAAATTATACCCTACACAAGGCAAAACAATTTTTATTGCACTTATACGACTCAAATATTTTATTAGCATATATACAACAAATCATGAATTTATTTGGTTCATGCGTTTTGCCTTTTTTTTTAGGAAAGTGACGGATTGTAAGAATTTACAGTTAATATGGACTCTAAAACAACAGTCAATCAATTTATTATTCTTTTGGCAATTGTCGATTCCTAATTTTTTTCATCTTTCTTCTACACACTAAATTCTCCTTCCGCGGCCTGACGACGTCTGCCACGTCGCCACATCGCCTCTTTCTCCTTCCCCGGCGTCTGTCGACTCGCCGCCGTCGGCCTCCTCCCCGTCTTCATCCGACGCCTTACCTCCGTCGGGCATCGCACTTGCGCCCCAATCAAATGACGGCTTTTTGAACGGACTGGGGATGAGAGAGCAATGAACATACTGTATATAACACGATTATGTTATGTATATGTGCACGAATGATATACTTACAGTATATGGGGCTGTAACTCTGTAGTGTTTTCAAGACTGTATATGTGATATTTATATTTTGTATATGTTGTGTATATAGGTAGTATATTTTCAGTATATGTTTTCGTAGACACAATCACGTATATGTATATGTATATGTATATATATATATGGTTATGTTGAGTATATAACCAGTGTTTTGCGCTTTTTTTTTTCCTAACATCTATACCAGATTAAGATTAAGTTACGAGAATGAGAGAGAGGGAGAGGGAGAAGAGATGAGAGAGAGAGAGAGAGAGAGATAATAGATGAGAGAGAGAGCATTTTTAGGGATGATATTTTGTTATTAATGTAAATTCATTCAATTATGTTATTTCATTATTATGGTGCAACTCTTCAGTTACGGGATTTAGTTAGGAAACTATATATCAATGCATTGTTTTAGTATCCAACAACTACCTAATTATTTTGCTTTAATCTGGTACATACGCAAATAATTTTAAAATTATGTAAACTTGCAATTTTTTATGTTCAATCACGGTACATATGCAAATGACCCTAAATACAAACAAGCCCACACAATATAAATACACACATAAATACTAATAATAAATATAATAATAATCAAGCTAAAGACCAAAGCCGATCATGTTTGTCGAGATATGCTAATGCAATCTCGTCGGCATCATTCTCCCCTGGGTGGAGAGGATTCGCCCTCGAATCTGCAATCTCGTCGGCGTCCTAGACAATCCCGTCGACAAAATCACCTACGTCAAATACCATTGAGCGACCATCCTCCGAATCAAATAACTCCCTACACTACCTGGTGCGAGAAACGAATAAAACCGGAGACGACGATGGCAAAAGACCAGAACTGGATGACGACGGATGCAGGACTATGCGGACGTCCTCAAATAAAAAACTATATGTGTTGAGCCGTCCATCATGTACCACCGAGCGATCAAATTGCCAAGGGCGTCCTAATAAAACGTGCCAAAAATCCATAGGCACAACGTCACACCATGTCACGTCCTTATAAGAGGATCCGATAGAAAAGGTCACCAACACGCGTCGGGTAACACGGACAAAATCATCATGCTGTATCCACGCAAGAGCATACGGATCCGGATACGGCTCACTTAACAACCCCAGTTTCTTCACAACCTCGTTCGAAATCACATTCTCACAGGAACCGGAATCAATGACAAAACGGCACATCCGACCACCAATGGTGCATGTGGATTCAAAAAGGTGGTGTCGCTGGACCGTATCCTCGGAAGAGAATTGGGGAGACAAAAGAGACCGACGAAGGACAAGCGCGTGTCCCACGTCTCCCGAAACATGCACTTCGGGAACCTCCGGCTCTTTATCAAAAATTGGAGGACCATCGTAGGCAGTGGAGTCTGGCTCGTCATCAATCAACGCCCGTGACCCTCTCGCCTTCCGGCACTGTGCTTGGCGATGCCCCGGCTCACCACAAGTGAAACAACGTGGGCCACTAGATTGCCGATTGCCACTCCCCATCGTGGGGCCAACCACACGGCCTTCAGAAGGAGCACTCAAATCGAACGAAGCCTTCGTCGCAGATGGTACGGTACTCGAAGTCCCAAGAGGCTCTTTTGTAGACGGCGCAAAAGAAGTGCCCACTTTCCGGGGTCTGCTGCTGCTCAACCAATAAAGCCCGCTGATGAGCCTCAGAAACGAAAGCCGGAGTAAATATATTAAACACATCTTGAATAGAGACACGCAATCCCCCAATATAACGAGAAATCAACTGTTCCTGAGTTTCACGAATATCTACCCGGGCCAAGAGCTTATAAAATTCCTCAGTATAATCATCCACACTACGTTGTGCTTGACGAAGATTTTGCAAACGCTGATATAAAGTACGGATAAAATTAAACGATAAAAATTTCCGTTCAAGATACTTACGAAATTTTACCCACGAAGTGATTTTCAGTTTGCCCTGTCGATGCCGCACACCCTGTAACTGTAACCACCAAGCGGCCGCACGTCCATGAAGTCGACTGACCACAAGTGCGACCCGCCTCCCGTCCGGTACACATTTAAAATCGAGAGCAGCCTCAACGGCGGCCAACCAATCCAAAAGATCGGCCGCGTCCAAACCCCCGGCAAGTTCTAGAATTTTCACACGGAAAGAGAATTCCTAACGACTATCAACATCCCCTGCAGCCCGTGGTCTGCGATAATGGACCACACGTCCAGGCCCATTAAAATCTGCATGTGGCCCATAGTTAGGAAAAAGAATATTATCATCAAATTTATCTCTATCATTCCCAAAGTCGCGCGCAGGAGAAAAATCCTCAAAATCACGAAAATCCCCAAAATCACGAAATTCACGAAAAGCCCGAAAATCAGCACCTCTGCACAAATCGGCGTCGGCCCGTTCATCCTCAACAACAACAGGTCTCCGGCGACCCTGTTGCTGCCAACCGCGAAAATTGCCTGCGACCCTGTGGCGCTCACCGCCGCACTGGAAATCGTCACCCGCTTCACGGCGGATCTCGCCGCCGACATGGCGCCGGTCAGCGCGAGTCCCAGCAGAACGTCGCGCCGCCATCGGTTGGTGGTCACGAAAATCCGGGACCGAAAAATCATCTACACGGGGAGGAGGAGACCTAGGCCGACGAACACCCGCGAGCCTCTGTTGCGGGTTGCGACTGTCGACTTCACCAAATTGCGCAAATCCCTCGGCAAAGGGGTTGACACCATCATCTCTGGCATCTGCAACTCGCCGGAAATCGCGATCCCCAAATCGCGGATATTCACCGTCGTCTGGATCTTCACGGCGATTTCCCACACGCTGATGGATATTATCGGCCCGATTCTGAAACCTGTCCCCTGCCCGACGATTTGCCTCAAAACCCGGGTTGGGAAATACCTGCTCATTTTGCCGACGGTTATGAACATCGTCAACCCTGTCGCGAGCGAAACCCTCGGCAAAGGGATTTTCGTCAGACAACGTAGCATCACTATCTGCCTCACCAAACGGAGGCTGTGGAAACGGTTGTCGCGGCGCCCCGCCAAACCCGCGTTCACCACGGCCGCCTCTGAACCCACCGCGACCTCCCCGACCTCCGGCGAAATCACGGTTCTCTTGCTGGTCCCGTACCATGGTAGCCAATGTGAGACGAATGTCTTCGATTCCAGTAAACAAATCTGCCACTCGAGCGTCCATCGTATCCAATCGATCATCCAAACAATGAAAACGATCGTCACCAAATGATGCAGCGGGAAGCATGAGATGGGAAAGTTGAACAAAAAAGAACGACGAACAATTCTTTTCTTTCTGTATTCAATCTGATAACATCATAACTGCCCTCCAACATCTCCTACCGTTTATTAATATTATCCCCTAATCACATAAAACTTCCAAGCCCATAATAATAGAAGCCCAACCTATAACATAACTAAATACAAACAAGCCCACACAATATAAATACACACATAAATACTAATAATAAATATAATAATAATCAAGCTAAAGACTAATGCCGATCATGTTTATCGAGATATGCTAATGCAATCTCGTTGGCATCATTATCCAAAAAGATAAAAAATATATTTCAATGTCGTTATTAGCTATTTTCATTATTAATTAGGTCTTCTATTACACGTTTATTTTTTGACAAACACTGAAACACTCGTACAATACACCCACGTAATACTAATTATTTTATTAAAATTGACCTCCCAAATAGTTCCTCCATTAAAACTAATCAACTTAAATTTACTACTAACTTTTTCTTAATATATGGTTATCGTACCATGACCAATTGGCTGATCGGTTCAATTTGCCAATAATTACAAGTGAGCCTGTATAGCATAAGTTGCGGTTCGTCAGAAAATAATCCATCTCTACGAATGAGCTTCCGGTAAATTGCTCCCAATTTGAGGATTTGTTACCTCAAACTTTGATAATCAAAACAAAACTAGTCTTCCAATTGTCTGCTCAAAATTTTAAGATTATTATTTGAATATATTATTTACCAAACCATTTTTCATTTAATATATCTATTTTATCTACAACTAATATATATATTAAAGTGCAGTCAAAAAAAATATGAAAGATTGTAAATAATTTTCAACCTATTTGTGATTACTAAACAAGGAAATGGTTAAATTATTTTAAATTCTAATAATTCTAATTTATTTGTATATCTAATTAATCATATTTTTAATATACTCACTTTAAACACATTAATATATAGTACAAAACGATTTGATCACTGGACTGATCATTTCATAGTCCACGCTGTTTATTAATATTGTCCAGACTGCTACTTTTAAATTTAACCAGTACATTTGTAATTAAAATCAATATCCCATAGACTGAACCTCATTAAGCATAACATTTTTCAACAGAAAGAGTATAAATGACTAACAAGTAGGCAGCTAATAAAGAACTGCCATAAACCAAATTATCCAAAAAAACATATTCTGTTAACCGTCTCAAGATAAAAACACAAGCACGATAATCACCATCATTGATAATCAAAATGCCAGATAAATTGTTCAAGTAGTCAGATTTTCATCACTCTCTTATAAAAGTCCATTTACCTTCATCTAGCAAAAATCAATCATTGTCTTCACTACGCGACTTCTTTTTCTTCTTCTTCTTCTTCTTACTTTCTGTAGCAGCTGAAACATCTTCCATGACTTCATCTTTGCTCTTCTTCTTCTTCTTCTTGGCTGACATCCCATCTTCCCCTGCATTGGATCCATTCACGTCACTCTTTTCCTCGACTTTTTCTTCCTCCAATTTTCGCTTTTCCTTCTTTTTCTTCTTCTTCTCAGTCTTGGGCTCCTCATCATTTGCATTTCCCTTCACATTAGCAGCAGTAGCCTCATCCTCTGCCGAAATTCGAGCAGAACAACATATCAGTTCAAAATCCAATATAAGACATTTTCTAAATATCGAACTTGCTTTTTGTTTGTCATTTAACTTGGCATTTGAGTGATTTTACATGAACATATACAACAGATATGAAATTGCAAACCTTTGCTGTCGACTGTTTCAATAGCAGATTTCATTACGTCGAGGTTTTTACGAGGCGCAACCCCTTTATCATAAAAGTCCAGCCGCTCTTCAACTTGTTCACGCAGTTTCTCTCCAAAAGCAGTGGTACTTTTATCTGAAACGGTAAGACATACATAAGAACATAATTTTCCATTAATGGAAAGGCAAACAAATAATAAACTTACCCAAGAAACAATCAATACGAGAAGCAATCGAGCACTTGTTCGCAAGGTACCGAGCCATCCGGCCTTTATTTCGAGCAGAAGCACGTCCAATGAAGGAAGAGTGAAATATAAGACCATACTTTGGAGTGTTTCCCTTGGTTTTCAGAGCCCTGAATATATATATATAGAACAAGAACAAACAACAGAAGATACTTAAAAAAAAGTTTCTAATCAACTGCCAATTAACAAAATTGAAAAAAAAAAAAAGCAGTCAAACGTGTGCCAAAATAAAAGAAAAATAACTGAAAAACAATCACAAAAAGTATGCCGCCTTAAAAAACAACTACCTAAAAAGAGCCTTCTCGGCACCAAGAATCTGAAGAGTTGATGAAGGACACTTTGCCAAGTTTGTGAGACTGCCAGCATGAGAAATCAAACGAGCACCAACAACTTCACCAATGAGTGCAGCCAAATTAGGTGCAATGTCATTCATCTTGGACACCAGGTAATCATAGAGCTTCTTCCTGTACTCCGCAAGGTCCATCACCCTCTGTGCAAACTGCTTCACGTTAATCAAATCTACAGGTGACAAATCTTGTCCTGCAAGAACAAAGAGATATTTAGAACCCATATGCACCTAAATCAAGCATAGGTGGCCAGTCTATATATATATATATATATATATATATATATATATATACCCATGGAAGCTTTGGCAGCTTCTATGATCTCCTTTGCTTTATCTTCATCTCCAACAATGTCTGTCAGGCCCGATAAATGTTCTTCAGACAAATGAGATTTGTCTTCCACATACTTTGCAACTTTGGCATATAGATAGTTGTCGTTGACAATCTTCACTAGTTCAGGGAAGTGCCAAGAGTACCATTCCCTGAATAAAATCATGAGATTCATTTTGTGAGAAAAAGTTGTGTAAATATGTAAATATATTCTCACGGACAACTAAGAATGATGAATATAATTCGCTAACCATTAAAATGATCAAGTAAAAGGATATGAGAATTGACAGAAAAAAAGAATGTCATAAAGGGGATAAGCGAAGGAATATGCTAACCTTACTCTCATGGAAAAGGAATTTATATCCTTATCAAGGGTATCGAGAAGAAAAATAGCCTGAATAACCATATTATCCACGCGGTTCACATTGAACTTCACCTTCGCCCTGCTATAGCTGTGACCCAGACCGAGTTGCGCTTTCTCCAAATCTCCAGGCTGATTAATTTAAAGGGGCAAAAAATCAGAAACGCACACCAGAAATACAAGATGATGCATCCCAAGGAACAAGAACTTTAAATGGAGTAATGAAAATTTTAGCTTTCACTTAATAATAATAATAATAATAATAATAATAATAATAATAATAATAATGAATCACCAACCTTTAGGTTTTCAATGAAACGACTGAAATGCAACCGCACGCCTCGAAGTATCTCAAGAACAAATTCATTGCTTTGGCAGGGTATCTTAGTAACTTCGAAAATATGTGACCCAAGCTTTGGCTCTGCCACTCCCAAGCTGAACTTCACCTTCTTGCCTTCCTTACCCTTTGGTAAATTAAGCTCCAAGAAGTTCTTTAGCTCGTCAGTCATTTGACCTTTTTCCAAATCACATCGGTCAATATTGTTTTTCCTCCAGAAGAAAGGATTTAACAGCAAACAATTGCCCAATTTTGTCACCTCTAATTAACAAAGACGATATCCACAAACAATGGAAATTCATGGTTGTCCAAGAGTTTACATTTTATATTATTATCCCATTTCCCTTTTCCAAAAGCAGCCCAACCCAGAAGAACAGAGTAAACAGACAGAGTGACAGACAACAACTATGATGATGATGATGAAATAGCCTATTTATATTGGTTCAGAGATCATTCTTTACACTTCCAAGAAAGATAGATATAAGTTGATTTAGAAAGATGGCATAAATCCAACCTGCAAGTTAAACCTCAATTTACATTTTACGAAAATGTACTTCCAAAGTGGTTCTTTAGTTCAAAATGAACATTTCTTCATACCAAATTTTGGTGCTATCTCATGGAAAAATACACAACAACATTAGCAAATATGGCACAGCATATGCTCCACTACCCAAATCTTTATTTACACGTCCTGCATCCCAAATCTTCTTTAGTATCAAATTTCTCCAATTACATATAAACTCAGTGAAGATGTTCAACTAATACAGCACAACAACATAACACATTTCAGATTATTACTTAAAGTGAAAACGAGTCCGACACATTACACAGCACGACCAAGAAACGAAAGAAATAGAAAACATTCTTTCTAACCCACAACAAGTGAACACACGAAAGTCAAGAGCAACTGAAATCAATTAAAGCCCAGATTGTTTTCACCTTCGGAGACGGCGTTGCACTGATTGAGAGCATCCAGTGCAGACTCATAGGGACTAAATGCAGCGAGCTTTACCACCTTCCCGAACCGGTTCAGGTCGGAAACTGAGTTCCGAACTCCCTCGGTGTTCTGCCCTACTTCATCGAGCCCGTGCGCAAAGAACAGACCGTATCCAGAGGCCGACTCGTACAGCACGTACAGAGACATTACACACTCTCACTCGCTCTATAAAGAAGGGTTTCTCCCTTCTTCTTTCTGTTATCTCTATGTATTCTGCGTCTGTGTGTTGGCAGGCTGGGATGGAGAAGGGTTTTTATTGCAAGGTTAGGGTTTTGCTTCAGGGTGGGTAATTTATTTAAAAGACTAGTAAAAATAACTTAGTTAATGACCTTGTTTGTTAAATAGCGTTTTGGCCGAAATGCTATTTTAGCTTTTTTGACCCAAATCTAAAACACGCTAATATTGGTTTTATTTATGGCCTTGTTTGGTAAAATAACGTTTTGACATATTTCAGCGTTTTATGCAAAATAATATTTTGACCTTTTCAAATCCAACTAAAAAGATGTTTGGTAATTAGCTTTTGAGGTCAGCTTTTTTGTCCCAACTGCTAAAAATGAAAACGCTGAGATTTGGAGCGTTTTGCACGTCGGCTTTTGAGACAAAAATGTGTTTTGTCATGCTTATACAGTCCAAATAAGAGGAAACAAGTTACGTGAGAATCAAGAGGAGATTGAGAAGACTATATCTGAATTTTATGGGAAACTCTTCACTTCTCAATGTTCAAGCAATGGCCATGAGTTAGTGCCTCTCATTATAAATCAGTCACAGATGATTTGAACATCATCCTAATTGCTCCTGTGGATGTAGATGTTATTAAGAAAGCAGTTTTTAGTATTCATCTTGAAAAAGCTCCAGGGGAGGATGGCATGACATGGCTGTTCTACCAGCATTTTTGGCCAATTATCAACAAGGATATCTGCATTGCAGTGAGGAGTTTCTTTCACTCAGGAGAAATGTTGAGGTACTAGAAGCATACTTTAATTACCCTTGTTCTTAATGTATTGATCCTGTTTCAATTAGTTAACTCAGACCAGTAAGTTTATGTGTTGTGTTATATAAAGTGGTCTCTAAGATTCTGGCTTTGAGGTTGAGATAATGTTTACATGTCTGTATTCCTGAGAACCAAACTGCCTTTCTTTCTGGTAGACAATTATTGGATAATGTAGCTATTGGTCATGAAGTGTTCTACTTTTTGAATAGGCATAGAAGTGGTAAGAACTATTTTATGGCCTTGAAATTGGGCATTGTGAAAGCTTATGATAGTTTGGAGTGGAAAGTTGTCCAATTGACTATGTTGAGAATTGGATTTCATATTCAGTTTGTTAAATGGATTATGGCCTGCATCCAATTTCCTTCCTTCTCTTTCAATTTAAATGGCAAATATTTTGGTTTTGTGCCTGCTTCAAGAGGGATTAGACAAGGGGATCACCTATCCCCTTATCTATTCATCATTATATCAGAACCGCTTTCTGCTAAAATCAATGAGGAGGCTGATAGAAGAAGTTTCAAAGGGCTTAGAGTGTGACCTTTATTGACTCACCTGATATTAACTGATGATAGACTAGTGTTTTGCAGAGCTGATAAAACCAAACCAAGAAATTTGGCTTCGAAAATTTCTTTACATGTTTTCCTCATTTTGATTTTTGTTTGATTTGGAAGAATCACTATTTTTCTCTAAAGGAGAGAATTGAGAAAAAAATGTGAAAAATTGGATAAAATTTGTATCGGAAGAAGGTGAACGAAGCTTGAAGGTGGGAATTGGAAAAAAATCGACTTATAGATTTGGGGCTTCTGCCGAAGAGGTGAGAATTGAGAATTTGAGGAAATGAGACCGATTTTTTAGAATTGATTCAATTGAAAAACAACAAATTTACAAATTTTATTTAATTATTTTAATATTAATCATATGGGTTTTTAATTTTATAAACAAAAATATTACTTGACTTCCTATTTTGTAAGAAATTAATAATTGGGCTAGATTCCTAAACTCATTTATTGTAATTTGTAATCATATTCACATTTGCAGTCCTCGGAAAGTATTTTTTTAATCATAAGTCAAGAAACTTTTTTTTACCAAAAGAATCGAACTGAAAAATTAAATTTTTTTAACAAATACCCAATCAAAATCGATTTTTTCGGTTAGATTAATGTCGATTCTCTAGTTCTCGGTTTTAAAATTCTACTCCTAATATTAAGATTATAAGATAACATTAGTTGCTATGTAAATTTAGATTGGATGAAACAGTAAAACATAACTAAAACATTTCAAATACGAACGGAAAATCGGTTTTAAAATTCTACTCCTAATATTAAGATTATAAGATAACATTAGTTGCTATGTAAATTTAGATTGGATGAAACAGTAAAACATAACTAAAACATTTCAAATACGAACGGAAAATAAATAAATAAGAAAAGAAAAAACGTGAAATGACATCACATAGTTTGGCCACAAACCCTCAAAGCAACTTTACCAAAATTCGGGAAAATATTTATTATTTAAAGCCCCGTAAAGGCATACTACCGGCCAGGCACCGCTGCGCATTTTAGTGCCAACAACATGAATTAAGCTAACGCGAGCACCCCCCGTCATCAGATACCCCGTTCCCGGCCCCACTACCCCGTGCGGCAAAATCTCCTAATGACCCCCTAAAAAGTCAGTAACTCCCAATTTAACCCACACAACTTTTATCTCTTTAGTTTTCAGTCCCCGCCTCCGCTGCCCGTTAAATAGCACCGAGTCCGAGTGAATAAATTTATTTATCTATATTAAATAATAACCATCTTTTCCTCTCTGTAATAAGATATTGCCTTCGGGACGAGAGAAGAAGCTGAAATGGTGTCGACCAGGCGAAGTGGATCTCTGCCGTCGAGTAGCAGTAAGAGATCATCTTCGCCGTCCGATGACAATCACAACAAGCCTACTTCTCCCAAGCGTCAAAAGGCACTCTCTCTCTCTCTCTCACGCACACATATGAATAGCTGTAGGTATATGTATGTTGCTGGATTACTCAATCTGCGCCGTTGATTTCTGAGCGGTGTTGTTTTGTTTTTCCGCAGGGTGAGAACTGTAGTGCCAATGGCAACACTAGGAATCCAGAGGCGGAGAAACCGAAGGAATTGAGCTCAACTGATCTGCCGGAGCTCCCTGACGTCGCCGTCTCGGTCCCTCCGGCTGCCGCACCCTCCGTATCTGTTGCTCCTCCGGCCGTTGCAGAAGGTCAGTTCTATGATTTATGTGATGATCTGCTGGAAGCCAATTTAGCTTTTTCTGGCGTGTGCATGTGTTGAGCGGATGAAAATTGGGGGAATTTTTGGAAATTCAGGAGATGTGGTAGCTAATGTGGATAAACTGAAGAGCTCGTTAACTTCGTGGAAACAGCACCAAGGTTTTGAGACGACTTCGCCCTGGTGTAGGCTTCTCACAGAGTCCACACAGGTACTTTCTTGTACTTCTGCATCTTAGTTTGTTCAAATTGTTGTCCAGCTGTATTACTGTTATTGTGAATTAGTTTGATTTTGTGCTTTAGTTTTGGAGTTACTAATTAAAGAAAGTGATTCACTCGGTGCAAGTTACCTGTTTGCAGAACCCCACTGTTTCTGTGTACACTACCAATTTCTTGGTAGGGGGAAGCAAACATGCCAATCTTTTGATCCGGGATCAGACGGTCAGTGCAATTCTTTGTTCCATAAGGCTTTCCGAGGTAAACGTTTGTTTTTTCTACGAGCTAAAACTCACGCTGCATGCACTGTTTCATTTTTAGCCATGCATTTCACTTGATTGGTTTACAATAAGATGACATGGACCAGTCTTATGGACTTAGTCGTGGAAAGGAAAGGAGAGTGATGACGATGCCGAAAGTCTAGGTCCGTCAACAAACGGCTTCATGAACGCATACCTACTTAAAGTGTTATATATTGAATTGATGACGTTGTAGTGCACACATCGCACACAACTATTGTTATTTTTCTGAACCGATGTCGCTAATTTTTGTCGCCTTTCGCTGATCTTTAGAGTTATGAGTTTTTTAAGTCCGCGTGTCATGTATTGATTGCATACTATTATTTCCAAGGCTAACTTCTTTTCATTTTTTTATTTCTATAAATATTAATTCCGGTAATGATCAGCACGACAATAAGCCTGTTGTGGTACTTGAAAGTCGTGGGAGCAAAGGATGTGTGCAAGTTAATGGGAAAGTAATTAAGAAGAACACTAGTTGCAATCTCAATTCAGGGGATGAAGTGGTTTTCGGCTTTCTTGGAAATCATGCATACGTATCCTTTTAATTTTTGTACTATTTTTTGTTTCTATCTTTGTTCAGTTTATCCGTTACTCCATGTGGATTATCCTTAATCCCTGTAATGCAGATTTTTCAGCAGCTGCCTTATGACAGTATAATAAAAACCCCTCCACCAGATGTTCAACCTAATGTAGAAAAGTTGGTTCAAGTTGAAAGACAAGCAGGAGATGGATCAACTGCAGCGGGTGCTTCAATCCTGGCATCACTTTCTAATCTGCAGCAAGATTTATCTCGTCTTAAGCCAACTTCACAGACCAGCGGTAAAAATCACAGAGGGAGTAATCTACCTTCTTCTCCCCTTACTAATGAAGACGAACTTGATGGTCAAGAAGTACATTCAGCTACAAATTTAGGTGGTGATGCAGCGGCAGATATAGGGGGAGCTGCCACCAAGATCCTCCCGCTTGATGGCATTATAGAAGCTGGCTTGGAGGCAAGTAATGTGAATTACCTGAGTGCTGGTGAAATGTGCACTCTCAACTTCTATATTTCATGACATAAATTCCTGTATATAAAGTGTAGGAAAACCTCTCATGTAAACAGGATGATAGAGATTGGCTCAAGGATCTAGTCCCAGTATCTCTATCAGTTATGTGTTCACGAACTAAAGCATTTAGAGAAAGCATACTAGCTGCTATTCTTGATGATGAGGACCTTGAGGTTTCATTCGATAATTTTCCATATTATTTGAGGTATGCTTCTGTAGCCTCGTAAATATTCAAATTATAGCAATTATGTTTTCCTTTTCTACAAATTCTTGGGTTTATCTCTTGATCTACTAATTAGGAGATAAAAACACGCATTTTTTTTTTTCTTCTCAAGGTAATAATTGTATTTGTATTTAACTTTGCAGCGAGAGCACAAAAAGTGTGCTAATTGCAGCTTCCTATATACAACTGAGTCACAGAGATCAAGTTAAATTTACATCAGAGCTTCCAACATTGAATCCTAGAATCTTACTTTCTGGTCCAACAGGTACTTGGTTATTCGTTTATTATTATTGTCCCAATACGCTCAATTGTGCTCTAATGCTTGTTTGTGATATTAGTGGCATTGTTTCCTCATAATGCCCCAGGATAACGTGGCTATTTTCTTTTTCAGGGTCTGAGATTTATCAGGAGATGTTGGTAAAGGCGCTTGCTCATTATTTTGGGGCGAAATTGCTTATATTTGACCGCAATTCATTTCTGGGAGTAAGAAAAAATCAAATTTATTTCAATTGATATA